TGTTGAAAGTTAAAAAAATAAAGGATAATAATTAAATAGCTAATTACTACAATCTATGAGACCCTCCGGTTTACTAAATGTCATTGTGCTTGATAACAATAAGAGGATACTTATCAAAACATTGTTGTCCCATATAACTGTGTCAGTTTAGACGAGATGATAATTAAAGAAAGTAAGATTCTGAAATTTATTTTAACAAAGATGATTACTTAAAAGAATTAAATAATAATTTTGAATCCGCAATATTTCAACATCAACATTCTTCCAATTACCTTACTTAAAAATTACAATTCACAGAGGCATACTGTGCTTAAACCGACTATCTGCCAATTAAGATATCAGATTGATGAATCTGAAGGCCTGTACAGGCAAATGAAATCTATCTTTATTCCCCATGTTATACATTCAGAATTCCTGAATATTATCTGCCTATTATTTGAATAATGTTTCTTATCTACATGTTTATGGTAAACTAGAAAGACAGATTGATGTTTACCAGAATTACCAATTGTCAATCTATCAATTTTTTTTAACACAATAACTTTCAGAAAAGTTAGGTTATGGCATGACAACTACATGTAATATATCAATAGTGTTATCTGTTTAAGAGTTGTATCAATATGGACTATGGATGTGACTAATATATAGGCTGTACAGACTTCAGACGCTTATATTTAAACTAGTTTAAAATCGCTGATGTTGCATTTGATATAAGCCAAACCAGTTAGGGTTAATTACGCAAGGGCACACATCATCATTTTGCCAGGAAGATAAATACTGCTCATGCCCAAAGCAAGCTCGAGACCCATTCAGACAGCATTTAAGAAAATCCTTCTCCAAGGTGGGTACAGAGCTGGAGTTTTTAAATTGTTTTATGTCCCATATTTTGCATTCAGATAACAAAGTTTTAACAATCACCAGGGTTTTTAAACCAGTCTAACGTAATCATCTGAATGGGATTAGTGTAAGCTTATATACAATCTAATTTTAATTGTCCAATTTGTTGCAAATCTTAGACAATGTTCATATTGGGATCAGTAACTATGTTTTGTTTACTAGAACACAAATACTTTATGTAGATTTAAAGAAGTTTTGGGTAAAAATTTAGTGAACCCAACGATTTGTAGTTTATTATGCTAGAGGCAGGTTGGGATTAAAGGTGAAAACAAAACCAGTCGGAAATCAGTCTAGTACAGTAATTGTGAAAACTAAATGAAAACTACTTTAAGTTCAAGTGTATTGAAACTTAAAATTAAAAGTGAACCCTAAGATATTTACATACAGATAATGACCGTCCCTGAAGATCTGAAGTGATGTATAATCCGGGTGTTACTATAAAGAAAACAGATCTAATTGGTAAGTAACTACACCTCCACATACAGTGCCTTCAATCACAACACCAGCTTTTCTATAAGCATCATTGATAATGGATTTTCCAGACATTTTTTTTCGGGGTATAAAGAAAAAATTTATTGCCCAAACTACCTACTTGATTGAACCTGAAAGATCATAAATAGGTCTGAAACATCTTCAACATCAAATTGAACAGTAAAAAATATCATATTACAATCTTTTTATAGTCTTTATGATCAAATTGAAATCTGAATATAAACATAGGTTGCCAGGCAATGAAACATATTCCCACTAGTTGCGATGTATTTCCTTCAGTATATAATATTCTGCATGGGCTTTCTAATCAATTTGTTTCTACATGTGGGCTACAATGTTTTGCAATTTTTACTGAGGTCTAAGTGTCAAATTAACATCATACCGGTATCTTCTTTTATTAAGAATGTAAACAGTCTTTCAAGACGGAACAAAATTTTCTAAAGACCTCTAAAGTGGTAACATGATTTTGTAAAAGAAAGTGGTAGGAAATCAATACGAGTCTTCCTGTTAATAAAAAAATTACCAAATATCGAATGTTAACCATTAAATGTTGTAACAAGCTTGTTTTAAGGACACCTTCTAGTGTTTAAGTCAACATACTCTCACCAGTGCACTGATTTACCAGCCTTTAAGTTTGATCCCCCTTAAAGATTAATGGTACCATAATTTATTCCTGGTAAAGGAATATAACTCTAGAAAAAAATCATCCATTACCATTCAAATTCAATAGGATTCACTCTCTGAATAACATTCATATCTCATACATCTTTCAAAAGGATCGGATGATATTAGGGCTAATAAGATTTCATAACAAAGGAGCGTAGCCCTAGAGTCTGGACATCTATCAGATGAAACCGTTTGAAACAAATAGGATTCTTCATTGGAATGTGATGAAGAGCTGCATAACTACCCAAGTCCAGCCAGCATTCGATCCCGGTGTTGACAGAGAAAGTAAGTCAAATGAGACTGAAGAACGAGGTCCGGTGTGCACATTGGCATATCACATAAAGGAACCTACCCTTGACAATTGGAGTTCAACGAAGAGTTGGTGGAAATGTTGCTATTCGAGCAAAATATCCCTCATAGCACACGGCATGGAATATGCTTGTCTTGGGGGGGGGGGGGTAATTTCAATTCCTTTCCTTTGAATGACCTGAAGGCCCTACAATATTTTAAATAGACTGGAATATTATTGAAGACTTTATCACAAAGGGGTAAAGCTCTGGAAGTTATCATCTGTGGAAAATCAATAGGATTTTTTCTTTGAATAAACAATGCACCACACAATATACATGGCAATATACATCCAGTTTAAAATGTGGGCGTACAAAATAAGTAAGTTACTTACTTCTTCTAAACTGGAATTTTATGTCACTTACTAAATTGGAGCAATGAAACTCCTTAATTTTACTAACTAGTTAATTTCAACTGATATAACTGCATTCAAATAATGTAAGTTTGAAAATCTAAAAGTAAATTTTACAAGATTTTTATTTTTTACAATGGAAGAGAAAAAAGTCTCTGTTGGAAACTACAAGTTAACTGAGAATGGTAATGTTTTCACATCAGGCAGGTGAGTGAACAAAGTGCTATGATACTTAAAGTGCTAAAATATTCGATCTAATCCAGATGTGTATAATTACGATAAAGGTATAAAGTCAGCACCTAAAAAGTGAGAAGTAAAGAAAATATAACAAGGTTGAAGAAGCCAAAAGATTACACTATTCCAGTGAGATCTCTCGTTAAAGATTGGGTTAGCTGGGCTAAAAGCTGGCATACACAGAACCTAGAAAGCGTCAAGTGCAAATCAGGGAGGCTTACCTGATATAAAATATGGTGTAAATTAAACTGGGTACATCTGCATTCTACCACTAGAACAAATGTTGTTTTCCAAAATGGTTCTGTGATGAAAAAATACAAATGTAGGGCAACTTTATTACCGGTATAAAAGTAGCATTTATATACAGAAAATGCAAATTTTAAGATTGTTTACTAAATATAAAACAAAAAGGACACAAAAAATTACACTGGGTACAATTATTATCGATACTGTGTGCAAATTCAAATAAATTCTCAAAGCCTTTTGGTTTCAATGCTGCAGGTACTTTGATATGGATAATTTATTATAGACCCTGTGAACAATACAATATCCTTACTTAATACTAATATATATATATATATGCCACTATATGAACAGCATATTATATTCATAAACAAATTTCGTATTTATTATACACCCCTTCCAACAGTAAGGCTGCAAAAATTATCTAGAAAGATTAGATTTTGAGATAAAAAGAAAACTTTATTTAGAATTATCATGGTTTGTATTAAGCGATAGGTAATTGGAAGAATGTTAAACTGATCTTTTAACACAAAAATAGACATACATCTGATAGGCTTCTATGTTTTTGTTAAACACCTGAGGATGAAGAGATAACATCAATTTCTGAAAACAGATACTGTAACAACCATACAGCTACCAAGGTGAAAAACATCCAGACAGAATTAGAAATTTTAACAAATTTGTTTACATTAACACATCAGAATTTAGCTTACTGATATCTTCCAAAAAACAATTAACTTATCCTAAGTATTTTTTGAACACTAACCAAAAATAACATGGCAGGTAAAATTACTGCATAAACAAACACCCCTCATTTTTATGTTTTGGGGTGGGGTGACAATATTTTTACAGCAAATTGAAAATGTACATGATCGCAACATTTCATAGTACTTTATTTCATTTGTACAGTTTGTCTTGATAGTAAGAAATATTTTAATTTCTTAATCAATCAACCCATTCTAATTGAATCATAATTATTACAGTGTTTGTTTTATCTTTGGATTGAAAAGTGAACTTTTATCAACAACTAAAAATTTTGAATTTAACCCTCTGAGCTAATGAAGAAACCTACAAATCCTAATCACACTTATAAGTACCTAACATTAACAGTACAAGAAAACAAATATACGGTATGTGGTTCAAGATGTGCTACTTTGAACAGATGGTATGGTAATTACTCCCAATATTTTGAATACAAAATCACAATGATATATATATATAGCAGAATAAATTACCCTACACACATGTTTAGATCTCTATAGCTTTGCAGAGAATTGAATTAAAAAAAAGTCATTTTGTATAGATCTAGGGCCAAAAACAAAAATACAGTTAGCAATATTTTTGTTGCATAGGCTATATCTTTCTTTTTTATATTATTAAAATTATTAATTAGGAATCTCCAAGAACTATACGCTGATTCTCTGTGGCCAACCTTCAGTCCAGGCTTAGCAGCATATGAGGCATGTAGTATGTCAACTTGAACCTCTTGTAAATAACCTTGTAATATTTTGAGTCTGCCTAAAGTGACAAATTTGTGTGTTCCAAAGGCACTCCCCTACATCTGTTTAAGACTACAACATATAAAACCTTGTGTCTAAAGACTCTAGATAACAATAATGAAAATAAACAGATTCCCTCATATCTGTCAATTGCACCTATTTTCAATATGGAAATATCATTCAAATTGCTCAATGTATACATGAATGTTTTTACTCCACAATTTTAAAGCCATATCACAGTTCCTTTTTTGGACCATGAAAATCTCCATGACAACAGACAGCAAGATAAAATGGAAATAAATCAAACGGTTACCTACACTTTAAGCAATTAATGTCAATTAGTAAAAACATAAAACAAATTACCAGATATAATAGACTGGTTTATAGATAGAATGAAACTGAAAAAAAATTGTGACTGTAAAGAGAGGATCCATGCTTTAAATTTACCACAGATAAACACTTATTAAATATTTTCAAACAATGGAAAAACAAATATTCATTAATTTGCCAAAAATTAATTGAAACAGACGAATTTGATTGGTTTTTGTCAGAAATATTTCATTTAATTACTACAAAATTCTTTTTAAAGCAAGAGCAATAACTCAATCATTAGTATGACAATCGGATGATCTGATTTATTTTTCCACACAACGTTTTTATTTGATCCTTCCTGATAAACCTTGAAAATTTCTAATATTTCAACAGAGAAACATACATGTAAATCAGAAGCTGTAAAACATCAGAAAACATAGATTTTCAAACAAAAATTGAACAAAGAAAACAGAACCTGGGAAGGAATAATCTATTCAATGACCCTGAAAAATCATCATAAACTTCTATATCACCTCTTTACATTTCAGCACCATTGTCACTTGAGGTGGATGGAAGCATGAAATTCAAGATGTCTGCAAAAAGGCAGAGCTAAGAAATATTTAAAGGTATGTTCTTTGAGATGAAATGGGGTGTGAAATCTAAAATCACACCTGAATAAACAATTATACCAACCATAAACTTCATGTACATCTTCTATAACAACTAGGCATACTTATTCCATCTGCTTTTCAAATGACCATTATTTTACATGGTCTTGATCTGAAATCAAGTACTGTTGTGTTGGTACACAGAACATAAATAACAATAATATACATGACCAAAAGCCCTAGTACCTTTCCTCTGCATTGAAAAGAATCTTTGTTGGTAATGTTACTTCAGCTTTTGAATGATACACATGTACAAACTTTCTGTTGATCTTATATATTCAAAAAATAAACAACATATTTTTTTCGAGACAAGTTGCCATTTTAACAACACTAGGCATTGCTTCTCTATAGTTCTCATTAACGAGTAACTTTAACCCTTGTTAAGTTGTACTGTGAAGTTACCATTTATTAGGCATTAATACATTTAAGTATATTAATAACACATAGGATTTCACACTATGCTCACCAGCCAATAAGCAGGAAAAGAAAACTTACTGTCTCATGAATGCAAGTGTCCCAATTAAAGTTTTTGTATTTCAAAACAATCATTGAACATAATAAAACTTTTGTACATATATTAATGTTTTCAAAAACACAATAAAAGCACAAAAGAATAACTTAATTAAATTCAATGGAATTTCCAATTAATTTGAAGGTAGCTATTTTAGGCCTCCTAACAAGTTTGCACCTGATTTATGGGTTTTCACATTTGGTTTTTAAATCATAATTTAAATAAGGTACAACATGTACATCAATATGCGCCAGTTGAAACATGATGTTTTGATATCAATGCCATTATAAAAGTTTGATCATACTTTCCAATGATTTAAGTACTCTGTATACAATACTATGAACCGGGAACTAAACAATATGGTTCATTATAGCCATCACAGTCTGTCATTTTATTACAGAACAAGAATAGCAAGTTTCATGTTGGTACTCAAATTAGCAGAGTCTTAGACTTTTTGTGAAGAGTGTTGCCTCAAGAATAATAATATTACCAAGATTACCAAGTGTATGGAATAAGTTCCTGTTTCAAAAATAAACCCATCACTTATCTGCTGTACTTTTGATGGATCGAATAAACAAATGTAAAAAAGTTTAGATTTGTTTATGATGCATATTTTGGCATACTAGCCATGTTCATAACCAAGAAGGATTATATATAATATAAACTAACAAATCTTCAAATAATCTTCACTTCCAAGTTCCAAAGAGGAATCAGTCAATGATAAAATCTTCACACAAAGACTCGACTATAATACTGATGGTACTATACTTACATGATTTCACTATAAGACCTATCCTATACAGTTTCAAGTTAACAAGACTCCCTCAAAACATCAGGGGATAAGAAAGTTATTATAATGTCTTTATGTAAGTTGTTTAAACTTTGCCGAAAGTATTTGATAATTTACACACCATTAAGATACGGAAACAGATCTTATAAAACATATTCTGATTGGTTGATTCAGACCATATGGTCTTATTTTATCGGTCAAATCCTGTATTAAAAAACAAAACGTATGTGTGTGTGTGTGTGTGCTCGGTGTCTTAAAGAACCATGTGTGTTTATGATACTCTTGCCAATTTCAAAAACTCTTTTAAAACTTTACTTTGATGGTACAACTTCTTAAAACAGAACATTGAGAAGAATGTTTGTGTAGCAACCTTTCAAACTTTTGATCCAGTGGAGAGATGGAGAGTCATAAAAGTCTAAAAATGTACTTATCTTCTCAGTGTTGTTATTATAGAGGATGAGATTCAGCACATGGGCGTAAACTAATTATTTAAGATAAAAGAACAATATCAAATGTAAGAAGCATATCTGTTAGAATGTGTCTTAAAAAAAAATATTGAAATATTATAGATTAAAATATATAAAATAAATACCAATAACATATTTCATTTTGATGATTTTGTTCTCCTCAAGAAAAGTAGAATACTTTAGATTACATAAATATACATGTAATAGCAAAACAGATATATTTTTTTTCCTTTTCATTCACTGAATTTCGTTTGAAGTTTTCATGAAATAAAATAAAATATTACTTTTAACCCAAATAAATCAAATATATCAGATTAGGAATATGTAAAGTAATATCATTCCATTTTTCAGTTATGTTATAAAACTCCTTAGCACTGATGTACCACAATTATCTACATGTATTATTAGTAATATTCTGCTTGGTTAATAGTGTATACCTTGTACTGTATATGTGATAGTCCAATACAAGTTATCTCCCTTAAGTCTTCATCTCATAAATGTGCAAGTTCACATCATTAGAATACTACATAATTATTGTGTAAGCCTTTTTTAATTTAAAGCACAAGGTTTTCTGATAAAAATCTGAAATCATCATAACCTTTCTTGAATGATGAAAGGATGAAATTGAGAAGTACTATATGTACCTATATGAACAAATTTCTTTTATTTATATTGCAATAATGTTTTTGCATGTTATTTTCAAATTAATCATATTCATTCTCAAAACCTTTCAACATCCCTCAAAAATGATTTACAAAAAAAGATAACGGTAGTTTGAAATGCTGCATGTGCATGTTATTAAATTATTTCTGTATCTAAAATTTAAAGAGATATAAACATTTTAAAAATGCTTACCTTTAAGCCAATACATACTGGACACACTTCATCTTATATTCATCCTCCAGGAACAGCTTGTTTGAGTGCTATGGTTCGCAGGAGTATGCTATATTCAAAATCATTTTTCAGTATTTACAGTAATATACTGTTCTTGCCAACATAAACACCATAAAATTGCTAAAGTAAAATCAGATTTATCTGCTCATAAATTGCATATGTGTATGTCTACAATCTACATGCTAGGCTTTTTCAAATGTCAGCTCGAGGTATTTTGACAGCCTCTTCATGGTTACAGTAGCCTATCCTTGACAAGATTAACAACATATTTATGACAATAAATAAGCACATTTAAGAATAGTGTTAATTCAAAAGTTTAGTATCTGTAGATCATGTACTGTAAAATTGAGTTTTTGCAGTATGTGACTAATAAACCAATTGTCCTTGGGTTAATTAACAGGTATTTTCTAAATCTGTTTTTTTTTCTACTCTAAGTTTTTTTTTTTAATTTTAATTTTGGTTTTTATAGAGCACACCCACATTCACTCCACACAGTGTTAAATTTTAACCATTTTATTTCATTGGTAAAATAGTCTGAATGACATAATATCAATGAGTTCATATAATCTTTTGAGGGCAATATCATGATATAAATTGTAAATATTTATCTTGTAAATCTAAATAACCGGGCATCCCTAATTTTGGTTACAAACACCATAGGTACACGTAGCCTAACTGATTATTGATGTAAAAGAATGAATAAATGTTTGTTGGTGAATGGTTCAAAATTTTGAGGTGTCTGATTTCACAGGTGATCACACTTTGTAACTGAGGTTTACATACATGTTTAAATACATGCAGTCAAAAACACAGACCAATCTAATCATTTCAGTGGAACTCAAGGAAATATCGCTGCCACAGCATACCTACATGTAGGATATAAAATTAAGTGATGTGACATATGGTATGTACTTGTTCGTATTTTAAATATGATAGCGCCTACGATATACGCTATTTTGTGAATGTAATAATAATTAACAATTATCATCTGTATGTTCTCAACTGTTCAGAACATATACACATTTGGACTGAGTTGGCAAGTTCAATATGTCCCTTTGTGGGTGTGAGACTACATGTATGTAATTAAATTAAATGAAATAGAACCATACCTTAATCGAAAATTTTCCTGAATGGGTTTCTGCACAAAACCTTGACCTATAAATAAAATGGTAATAATTCTTGATATTAGGTCATCCAAATCAACTAGGGGGTCATTACTCTAATTGGAAAGAGAGAGAAAAATGGGGTTTCAAGTCCTCTCAACATAAACTAGGTCATTTCAGGACTAACATATGATTCAATTTTATTTCTATAATTCGCTAGAATGTAGGGGTCTTTAGCAGTAGGATTAAACCGGAGGACCTGAGGGAAACCCACAAAATTGGATAATTGAAAAGAATGTTTCAGCTTAATAGTCTTCTTAGTTGCATAAACATAATTTAACACCGTGCATCAATTTCAAGTCAATTGGATAATAACTTTAGCCTCTATAGTGTCAACAAGATGGTCAAATGCCATAACCTGAAAATGAACAGGCTTCTTTGTCTCATTACCAAAATCAATGTGTATCTGTATACATATGTAATTGGATGATAACTTTAGCCTCCAGCATTTATGGGTGTCAGATAGATGGACAAGGATGACATCAAACTAGGTCATTTCCGGACTAACACATGGTTCAATTTTATTTCAATAATTCACTTCCAAGTAGGGGTCTTTAGCAGTGGGAGGAAACTGGAGGACACGGAGAAAACCCACAAGGCTGGACATGCGACCCTTCTCCTTGTCACGTACAACCAGGGAATACAGCGTGCATGTGCTAACCATTCAGCCATCCAATCCCCCTTGTCAAATTCAACATACATGTACTGGTATATAATTTAAATGAGATAAATAAGTTGCGGGCTCAGTGAATAAACTAGGCCCTATTTGTTTAAAAAGATAGGTTGCCAGGCAACTAAACACACGCCCACAGCAGCTAAATCGTCCGAGCGGCCGACAAGAGTTGTCGTATATTTGTTCTTTTGTAGGTAATTAGGGGGCATTTAATAGACAATTTCATACAGATGACATTATAATTTTCGTCGTTTGAGGGTTCACAAGGTTCTAAAAACTAAAACAAGGACTGTAAGGCTGACCTTAAAAATATCTTTGTTTCACCAAACCCGACCCACAATCGAGGAGAAGGGTCGGTAGGTCGGGTTTTTTTTCAGATTTTTTTTTTAAAAGCTAATTTGACAGCTTGATAATTTTCCGGGTGCAAACATTCGTCTTCTTTTATTGGCAAACAAATCAATGACATCGGGATTTTTCTTGATGCACGACTCGCACACAAATTGCGACAAACTCACGTTTGAAACTCCCTCAAAACGTTTTTAACGATCGTGCGGGTTTTGCCTTTATTTTTCTCGAAAACGGATATTGAAAATATCGTCGTCATGTTTAAAACGACGCCCCACAGACATAGAGGCAGAATCATTTCGTGGGAATGGACGTGCTTTCGTCTGCAACCATTTTGTTGAGAAGCGACACCTATGACGCTTTCGTCTTGATCAACCAGTTTCAATAATGAATCAAACCATAGCCATAGTAAAGGGAACTAACTCTCGTGATATATTTCAGGTTGACACACAAAATAAAATAAAAAGATCGCGGAAAAGTGCAATAAAATAATTTAAGTCGGGGGTGGTTTTAGTTTGTCGGTCGCGTTAGGCGAAACAAAGATATTTTTAAGGTCAGCCTAACACTGGAAGTAATCTACAGAAATTGTTGAAATTCGACAGACTTTTTAGTTTTACTAATTCAAATAATACATATAAATTTCATACAGATCAGATGATAACGTTTGTCGTTCGAACGTTCACAAGGTTCAACAAAGTAAAACAAGGGCCATAACTCTAGAAGTAATTGACAGAAATTGCTGAAATTCAATAGTCTTTTTTTTTTACTAATTTAAATGATGCATATAAATTTCATACAGATCGGTTGATAACTTTTGTTGTTAGAGAATGTTCACAAGAAGCAACAAAGTGCAACAAGGGCCATAACTCTAGATGTAATTAACGGAAATTGCTGAAATTCAATAAGCTTCTTTGTTTTACTAATCTAAATGATGCATATAAATTTTATACAGATCGGATAATGGGAATTGCTGAAATTCAATAGGCTTCTTCGTTTCACTAATTTAAATGATGCATATCAATTTCAAACAGATCGGATGATAACGGTTGTCATTAGAGCGTTCACAAGCTTCAACAAAGTGAAACAAGGGCCATAACTCTAGATGTAATTAACGGAAATTGCTGAAATTCAATAGGCTTCTTGGTTTTACTAATTTAAATGATGCATATAAATTTCATACAGATCGGTTGATAACTTTTGTCGTTAGAGAGTGTTCACAAGGTGCAACAAAGTGAAACAAGGGCCATAACTCCAGACGAAATAAACGGAAGTTTTTGAAATTAAATAGGATTCTTCATCTCACTAATGCAAACAACATATATCAATTTCAAAACAATCAGATGATAAATGTAGTCTGTAGAGTGTTCACAAGAAATTGTGGACGACGGGCGGATGGACGGACCGACAGCGGACGGACAGGGGTGACGGCAATATACGACCACATTTCCATGTGGGCGTATAAAAATGTAATGCCATTGGAATTGCATGCACTTGGTTTAAATTTAGACATGCTATTTCATTCAGCCTTCTAAAGTGCCGGACTGCACCACACATAATTTACACAAAAACAAAACCATGGACAAGACACAATACTGTCAATACGCAGAAATCAAAAACAAACGAACATATCAAATTAAGTGAATGGATCCGGGGGCTAGCCAAAGCGTCCACTACGCTGTACAATCCCGGGCCTGTAGTGATACAGACTTCACTTAAATTTGAAAACAATCAGGAATATAACCCAGAGAAACCATTAAGTAATGCTAGCATGAGTCATGATCTGCTATATGTTACATGAAATATGAATGTAAGCATATTGAAGTAAAAATTACCTATACAAGTAACTACACAATTTTATATGAAACATTATTATTGATAGGTGTAAAAAATTCCCAATTCAGAACATTGCGAGCACAGAAAGTCAATAAATATTTTAAGAACCTTGTAAATATAAATAGAAAATATGTGTACCGGAAGTATTCTATTCTTGCTGACACCTGAACCCGAGGAAAATATTATACTAAATAAAAAAGATGCAACTCCAAACAGTCAAAGGGCATATGGCATTCTTTGGAACCTTAAAAGAGACGAAAATGGGTCTAAAAGCACATATTAATGTAATCTGAATGTATATTACATGTGATGCAATTTCAAAAATAAATCAAATTTTAATTTCAAGTCAATTAAGATCAGTGAAATACATCCAAATTGAACGGCAGTCGTTCATTACAAATGGCACCCAAATTCATAGAGTACAATGACTCGTGTACTGATTTTAAAATGTTCATTGTGTCTTACAACAATCTGATAAAAACACAGATCCTATATTGTTTTGGTTTCGAGAAGAGTTGCCTGTGCGTATCCTCGAGGGTTTTCCCCAGGTCCTCCAGTTTCCTCCCACTGCTAAAGACTCCTACGAGCAAGCATTATTAAAATAAAATGTTAGTAGTCCCACAATGACCTAGTTTGTGTCGAGAGGACGTTACACCCCATTTCACTTGGAGTGTGGTGCACAGAACTGTGTATACATTCGCAGCGAAGATGAAGCAGAAGTTGTACTTCCAAATACCCACTTGAAACATTAATACTAATTGGTTAATCAAATGTCTGATGTCCTAGGGTCAAAAGCCCCTCATATGACCCCTGACGCAACCTCCCTGTACAACCGGTTAGTTATTCTTGTAGTTGAGGCCATCGAAAGTATAAAAAAAAAAACGAAATATAGATCTACATGTATATCAGATTGTGTTTTACATATTGGATATTATATAAAGGAATAGAATCCCATATTTTTACGCATGACAAAGACTTCAATATTGATTGAAATGGACTGATACTTAAAATAGCTAAATTGCTAATATTTGGGAAATAGAAATTGACACAAATTGGTCGCAACGCATACAATAATGTTATCTAAATGTATATGAGCTGATTTACATTCTATCTTTTCTGTTTTTACTCTAATTTCAAATCAGTTACATGTATGTTCGGCGAAATACGGCAGAAGTCTCAGTCGAATACCAATCTCCATAGCATCTGATTATTCCAGTCTATTGCGCATGCTCTCCATATAAGAATATGACGTTAGTGCTTGGCATGACTTACGGAATCTCTAGCCTCGTTCTTTTTTGTCCCTTGTTAAAAATGAAGAGAAATGACTGTAATATGACAAGACTGACAAAGAAGGCTGGGCGTGAGTTTGTTTTGCCAAATTTAGAGACTAAATATTAATAAAAAATTGGGTATGACACTGACCAAAGGGGTTGATGCATGCACCAAAATAAATAGTTGCTGGCTTTACAGTATAAGGAATAAATATGCAAAGTTCCAAGATAATCAGTTCAGAATTGCAGCCCGTAGATGATAAATATGATGATTCAGACAGTAATTGGCAGGACTGTAAAGCAATTTATAAAAACATTTGACTTTTCAAAGATAGATAACCTTTTCTATTCATTGGGATATTAAATTGTACAATGGATTTTATTTAACCTGAGGTGGTTTCAAACACACAGGCAAGTTATTAATAACCAAATTGAAAACTAAGTAGCCTAGTTTGTTCGTAATTAGCATGCGCGAACTGAAAAAGGGACATAACTCGTTTTTCTTAATTGGCTGTCACAAATATGGCCTATTTTTTCGCGAAAAGTAGGTCTTTCATTGCGGCCTCGTGTCGGTTCCCTGCAATTGATACAGCTTCCATTCAACCGAAAACAGTTAGTTAGGATGTCAAGGTTGCTCCGCATCAACATAACATCACTCATAACAAGGTAAGAATATTTTTTTTCTCTGATTGAAAAGTTTGAAATTTCGTAACTTTTTTCGTGGAAGATGCGGAGTGGAAAAAAACTTGCTAAATTATGGATGAAATATTCCTTTATAAGATCCATCTTCATTTATTTACAGAAGTCGACGTAAAAGTCGTAAAAATTCAATTTTTGTGAGGTGACCGAAATTTTATCGGCCATACTGTAATGGCGGAAGACGTGCCAAATGTAGTCTGTATCATTCAGACAAATATTCCCCATATACGCTTTGCACTACATGTATGAGGTACTGGTGACCGAGACTATATCAAATTACAGTTAGACGACTGTTAGACACGCGCAAATAACAAATTGAGACTGACTTTGTTATTTACGAAAAAAATAAAATTAGTTTGAATCGTGTGCTTTATCAGTTTCAGTAGTACGGTATAAAAATATTCTTCATAGCAGTTAGCACATATCACGGCGTAGTTCATTTCCATCCATGTATTCATGGTGTCAAAATTAAACCCCATTGTGGGCCATTCCATTTGATTATTGTTTACCAATATTGTTTAATCATATTTATTATAATTTTTCAGGTTCCTAGAGCTTGGTAAAAGATTTGATTGAAATTTAGCTGCATTATTGTTTTTATTATTATTCGTATAGTTTATTAGGCGACAGGTTTTGTTTGTATGGAATTTGATTTTTGTTATTTTAAAATTGTAAAGAAAACTTAAAATTCAGGTTTGATTTTATCATTTCAACACCAGAAATAAAACCAGTTTCTAAGATCTAATATGTCTTTTTTAGTTTTTGTGATATTGTTATTTTTTTCCAACTCCAGTCAGATATAAGACCAATTTCCTTTAATTTTATCCCAATTAAAAATTATTAAAATAGTTTTATTGTTGATTTTAACTTAGTAAATATGATGTAGACATATTTATGTAGTGTACATGTAACTGTTTTTTGTTCCTTACGATTCATAACTGGTAAAAGAAAACATATTTCCCAGTTTTATTTTATTATTCTATATCAGAAAACCAATTTTCAAGATCTAATGGGTTTTTTTTTTTAAAGATTTTGTTTAAGATTGTTATTTCTATTACTTTTCTGTACGAAATATTGCTGATTTCCTTTAAATTTTTCCAAATAAAAGGTAAAAACAATATTTCTGTGGTAGATATTAGTACATGTGTATCTCTAGCACATATGTGTACAATTTGAGCCTGTACCAAAGTCATTCAGTCAGTCAAAATATTATTTTATCATTTTTGCCCGTTTTTGACAGAATTTTGGTGAACGCTGCTTACCTATGGGTATATAAAACCAACTACAAAAAAGTAAGTTCTGAACCGATTTTAAAAATTTAAACAGATTAATGATTCTCGGGATTTTTTCTAACTGTATGCACTTTCAGGTCTCTAGCTCAAAAATTTAATTTTGGTTGGCACATGCTTACATGCTATCGTAATCGAATAAATTCGTTTAAAATTTATGACGGTTCAGACTGTAGCTCCTTAAAAGGTAAATTTAACAATTATAAATGAAATAAATAGTTCTTAACAAACTCGCTACATTACCGTAAACACACTTGTATGACATAAACAGAAAGGGAAACATTCATGCACAATACGGAGACAAAATACTTAACTATTTACACTTTGTTATTTTTTTCTGTGTATTATTATATTCTTCTTTCATTTCCGGTTTATGGTTTGGTTGTATCTAAATTTAGGCTCATGATATTTCCAGACTATGACTCTATAAGAAAGTCTTTACAATGGATATTTGAAACAAAAGTACTAAATGAGGATGAGTATGTAAGTTGTCGTGGAAAATACCTTTGGGAAAATCATATGAATACCACTAAAGGTCATTAATATTAATATAGAAAAATGTAAAATTGTGTAGAATCGGTCCATTATTTATATATTGTGGTTGATTACCCATAACACCCCTCTCTCTTCCTTTCTCACCCTTTCATTGAACTCGTGGGATATCTTCGTAAGTCGTCTTGATATTATCCAAAGTAATCCGCCAAAATACGTCTTTAAAATAAATAACCTTACATGTGGAAATAAAACTGATCATATATTCATTTGTTATTGTTTATTTTATTGTTTCAGAAGGACGTCCGTTGTCAAAATGTCTGATGCGGAAGGGTAAGTAGGCCATGTAAAATTAGTGGTGAACTAAATGAAATGAAATGGGGTTTAACGTCCTGCTGTTCTGCTCCTATACTAATGAAGACGGGCATACGCCATACAGTGTGCTATGAAGGAAATTTTGCCCAGACAACGGTACTATCGCCTTCTCTTACATCGAATTCCAACTGCCAAGGGATCTTTTACTTGCATTCCAATGTATACACAGGACCTCAGTTTTTTATATCATCCGAAGGACTAAACAGCTGTCCTTGTCAGACCCTCCGTTCTGCACCACTGATAAGGGGAACTAAATTGTAACAATTTTCATGTTTATTCTGGTGAAATTGAATCTCCTAAAACAAACATAATCAATTTCACAGTAGTCGAATCCCATCTTCCATTTGGGTTTAAAGCATAACATAAACATATTTTGCTACTTGACGTAGGGGTTTCAGGTCACGTGACTTTAGCGTGAAATCGGACAGCCAACGGCTGAAATATAGCCCACTTCAATCTACGATTCTGAATTACTATTTTATGTAAATGTATTACTAGTAATTGTATTGTAATAGTTTTATATCAATCTCAATATCTGCAAAGATTCAGGCTGAAAAATTATCGAAATATAAGCTAAATTACCGTTTGTTTACATGAGACGCTCGCGGGAAAATACCGCTCAGACGTCGCTCAGCTGGAGATTTTCCATTGCTACAACTCACTTCATTGGTGAATCCGCACCTTAGTTCCCGGTGGAATTTGGTATAGAACCAACATTTTTGTGCTTATTATGGTCTTTGATACCTTGAGATAGGACAATTACATACAGCCGTAGAAAACGGGATTTATCTGTTTTGATGACTGAAATTTGCTAAATTTTGACTAAACATAATATACTTTCTTGTGGTATCATCCAGATTATAAATATTTGACATATCATTCAAATTATTACGATTTTAATAAATCTTAGCTGACAATAACGTGCAGATTTCAGTTTTAAAATTGGTACTAACGATTCTGAAGGGAAAATACCGCTTATGACGTCACTCAAATATGACTGAAAAGCACTTATTTTGGTGCAATTCCACGCATTGACTGGTATAGAGCATTTTGATTACATTATTGACTTCGATCTCGGATTTTAAAATTCCATAACTTTGGATCTAATTAGAATATTTTGATGAAAAAAAAAAAAATGGGTAGCATTTTATGTATATTTTCACAAAATATTTTTTTAAAATTTTTTTCTGTCATATGAAACTTTGACCTGAAACCCCTACTTGACGTCTAGTGTTTAAATGACAGAAAGAAAATATTTAATAATATTTTGTGAAAATATAGGAGCTTTTATGGGTTTCCCTTTAGACGTCATTTTCGGTCATGCGCAGACCCTGGCCTTATTCGTAGACTGAAACCCATAGGCCATTGTGTGTTTTTTTTGTGAAAATACCGTCGTACAGTACGCTTGTTTTACATAAAATGAAACTGATCGCCATTTCTTCATACGTGTAAGGTTTATCGGGAGCAGGTCATTTCATCCCACTACCGGTTCAACTCGGGCTGTTTCATCCCAAATTAACACAAGTCCGTTCATCCCACTTATATCGGGTCGTTTCATCCCACAAATTTAAAAACAGGTATTACATGAATTTTTAATATTTTATTTATACATTAATACCAATAACAACATGTCAATGCAATTTCATCATGAATAGTGTCCAAGTTATTCCTTTGCATACGCTTTAGCTTATTTTCCAAATCCACACCAATTTCACTAAAATTGCATCGCTTACTACCGGTTCAACTCGGGCTGTTTCATCCCAAATTAACACAAGTCCGTTCATCCCACTTATATCGGGTCGTTTCATCCCACAAATTTAAAAACAGGTATTACATGAATTTTTAATATTTTATTTATACATTAATACCAATAACAACATGTCAATGCAATTTCATCATGAATAGTGTCCAAGTTATTCCTTTGCATACGCTTTAGCTTATTTTCCAAATCCACACCAATTTCACTAAAATTGCATCGCTTACAATCGAGCGATGCTCAGAGCAAAACCTTCATCTTGTAATAAAATATATAGTCATTTTCATGCACAAGGCTCTACATGGCGACTAAAACACTCGCCATGGCGACCAAATATGTTTTCTGGCTAGTTGAAATTTTCACTTGAGTCATCAGCTGGCGACTAAGTTTTTTTTCTCGTTTTAAAATAATTACAAAGTTTTTTTTACAAAATTGAATTTGTTTATTCAGCGCTTCGTAAAACCGTAACTTACTAGGGGAAATAACTCCAATTTAACGACAATATTTACGACATTCATATATTTTCTTACCATGTGCCGAAAATCGTTCTAACTTACGGCAATGTATACAAAATGTCCGACTACGCATGTTGTTGACCCATTTTTCTAACCATACATTAAAGTTATTCCCTATATATTAATAAAATGAATAAAAAACAAAATCTTTTAAGCTCTTTCTGAAGAAAAGAATTTTAACAGCTAAACCAAAGTTTAATGATGATATTCATTTTGTACATTAATTAATTGTTTTCTTTAAACTGTTCAGTATGTTGTGTTTCATTCATTATAAATGTCATTGTAATTTTTAATATTATTAAAATTAAAATTTATTTAAATCAAAACTGGTGTTCTTTTTTCTGCATTGTTTTATATTTAGCATTATGATAAAGATTAAAAAAAACAACGCGTAATATCTAGTTGTGATTTAAGTTACAGACTACAGTTAATAGCATTGTAATTTCTGGCTACTAAAATTTTGGTGCTGGCTAGTAAATTTTTAGCATTTAGTAGCCAGTGAAGACTAAATTTTCCATGCCCATATTAACCCTTGTTCATGCATGTTGGTTTCACTATAACAGTAACAGGATTACCTGGCGCCTCAAATAACCCAATGTTAAAAGAAAGCATGCAGTGTCCACCTTACAACAGGTTCCATTGATTTACGATTTAATTTATTACACAGTTTAGACCACAATGTGTTACTATTCGCATTTTGGTATTCTATTTCTAAATTGATTCCTATTCGGAATTCTTATATTTGTCTTATTTAAAAGGAGCTCCTGTGCAATTTAGTTGATTATCGGGTAATACGTAGAGTCCATAATGTATTTTGGCTAGTGATTAAGCTGTCAATATGTAATTATGAAATAACTTTTTATAAAGAAGATAAATGATTTTAGACATCATAAACTAACAAACAATCTGAGTATACTTTATTACAAAAGCATCTATGAACTAATCTAAAATCATAACAGCAATTAACTAACAATACGAATATACTTTACTACAAAAACATTGGTGAACTGATCTAAAATCATAACGCCAATTAACAAACGATACAAATATACAGCGAACTAATCTCGGTCGTGATCGGTAATCTACAAAAATCGACGAGTAAAACTTATTTATTCTATACATTATTGTTTATTTATCAAAAAGTAAGTGTTTAACATTTTTTTTTTAACAATAAGTACAACTCAGTTGATTGACTGCTATTATAATAACAAGGGGGAGGAAACAGCCCTGGATGAAACAGCCCGATAAAAAAATAGGTTGGGATGAAACAGCCTGAGATGAAACGATTGTGGGATGAACTGACCTGCACCCAGGTTTACCGACCGATGTCAGAAACCAATATTGACAAAAACTTTGATGTAGAAAAGATACGGCAAGTTTACCAGACCCGTAATGGCCGTATGCAATTTAGGAAAACCAGTGGATGACTGATCCGTGCTCATGGCCCGAAGTAGAATTTGGTCAAGTTTATTACGCAATTTACGAGCAAACAGATGTTATCTATTAATTACAATACTATTAACACAAAAGATTTAAATGGTCTACCCTATTTACATTCAACTGCCGACTGGACAGTATGTGTGAGGTCGTCTGCTTTTGCGCTGCATGCTATACTCTACAAAAAAAAAAAAGCATGGTACTATATTGGTCCTCGAGGCTATCAACTTAAAAATAATTCCACTGTCGCAACCAAGAATGAAGAACAATACAAGTGTCCATTTTATCAATTTCTGATTCAGTATTAGGTTTCGAGAACAACTGTTGAATGCAAATATATAACTGGACTCGGTGCATTCTATACAGAATTATTTTTATAGCATGATTATTATTTGTTTTTTTTAGATGTGCTACGGTCCTGCTTAAATTTGAATATCGTCTTGATATCACCGTTATACCCTAAGGATGGTTGAGTTCGAATTTCATAAAAATCGGACCAAAATGGCCACCCCTCGTTCGCAAATAGTGTCTAAATATTGTGTATCAGGGGTTGGACCCTCTGGAGGTCACAATTCTCATCTGATTTTGATGAAACTTGAAATGCATGTTTATAACCCACAGATCTCGGTTACTTTCAATATTCACGCATATCGGACCATAACTTTATGAATTATGGCCCCTGATGGTACGAAAAGTGTTTTTTGGCTTGTGGACCCCGTAGAGGTAACAATTTTTATCCGATTCAAAAAATTGTTACAATACATCACCGTTATAACCTAAGGATGGTTGGGTTCGAATTTCGTAAAAAATCGAACTGAAACTGACAAAATGGATGCCCCTCGTTCGCAAATAGTGTCTTAAATACATGTATTGTGTATCAGGGTTGTGGACCCTCTGGAGGTCACAATTCTCATCTGATTTTGATGAAACTTCAAATGCATGTTTATAACCCACAGATCTCGGTTACTTTCGATATTCGCGCATATCGGACCATAATTCCTGAATTATGGCCCCTAATTGTACGGAAAATCACGTTTTTAGCTTGTGGACCCTATAGAGGTCACAATTTTTATCCAATTTAAAAAATCGTTTGAATATATCACCATTACACACTAAGATCTTGGTTCCTTCCATTTGATAATTTCCGATATCCGAACTTAACTTCCTGGATTTTGGCCCCTGATTGTTCGAAAAATCGCATTTTCAGCTTGCAGATTCTCTAGAGGTCACAATTTTTTTCCGATTTTAAAAACCCTTTAAATACATCACCATTCTGCCATAATAAAGGTTGAATTCGTATTTCTCGAAAATCGAAATGAAACTGCCTGACAAAATGGCTGCTCTTTGTTAGCAAATTGTGTAGAAGTGTGTAATCCAAAGGTTGTGGACCCTCTAGAGGTCACAATTTTTATCCGACTTTGATGAAACATAACTTTATATCCCAAAAATCTGTCCCTTTTGATGTTTGCACATTTCAGGCCATAATTTTCTGGATTATTGCCCCTGATTGTAGTAATTGTACAAAAAATCCCGTTTGTTTTTAGCTTGTTCTCTATCCATCTCTTGCAAAATGAGGGCATATCCTGCCTGGCAGCCGCTGGTTAAACACTTTGATTAAAACATTTTATTGTATTGAAATGTTTACTTTCAGAGACGATGTTCCTGCTGTACCTACAGCCTCAGGGGCCATGGATCTTTACACTGCATTACAAGAAGTTTTAAAAACTTCCCTCATTCATGATGGTCTTGCAAGAGGATTACATGAATGTGCAAAAGCTCTTGACAAGTAAGTTGTAGACCCATGGACCTTTAATATTGAAATAAAAAGAAGTACTGTCTGTTTATAGACTGGACATGGTTTGTGGTGTTTTTCATGTGGCTTGTTTCACGTAAACAATATTTTAGAATTTTATAACCTTTTTCGAATCATCATTGTGTGAGACTATTGAATCGGATTTAAGCATTTGATTTGTATGCTTAACTCACTTGTATCAACAGATACTGTGAAGTCTGTGACTACTCCTTTAAGGAAGTCTTTATCTTGGGATTGTCTTTAAATATTTGTTGGTAATTTCCATGATGTAAATGCTATAAATGTATTGTAGGTTAATCAATTCAATTGTCTTCTGTTGAGTGATATTTACTTGTACGAAATTCAAACTCGGGGTTTTGATTTTTTGATTTTTTTTAGACGTCAAGCACATTTGTGCATTCTGGCTAACAACTGTGATGAACCAGCCTATGTACGTTTAGTAGAAGCTCTCTGTGCTGAACATGGCATCAATTTATTAAAGGTGAGTTTAGATATCAAAAATATTGATAGTTGAAACCAATATATATTCTTCTGCATAAATCTCCCAATAAGCTTCCATGAGGTGATGTTTCTTTTATCTGTATACTAGAGTTTTATTGGTGAATCTGTTGTAATTCTGATGCCAATATAATTTTCAGGTGGATGATAATAAGAAATTAGGTGAATGGTCTGGCTTGTGCCGAATTGACAAAGAAGGAAAAGCTAGAAATGTTATTGGCTGCAGTTGTGTTGTTATCAAGGTACTGTTTATGTTGGAAAAACCAGGCTATAATATACAGGGGTTTGGATGGTCGAATGGTTAAACGTGCGTGTTGCATCATAAGATCTGCCATTGAGTCGAGAGGTTTTGATTCCCAGCTTGTATTTATTTGATAAGGAGTAGGGTGACTAGGGTCGCACGTCCAACCTAATTAAGTATCATGCCAATTGTGTCCTGCATTCGCACGCCTTCCACGTGAGAATTTTTTTCAGTTATGTTTGAGAAGACAAAATTTCATGCCTGAGTGTTGGATTCACTTCACTTCAGTAATCAAAAGTCAAGAGTTGAGGTCAAAACAGCGAGTCAGTGTTAAGGTTAAAAGTAAAAAATAAAAGTTTTAACTGCTTGTCTTAAATGCATTATATAATTCTTCGCTAGAGGCGCCACTGATACTATGTCAAAAAAACTGACCGTAAAATGTGTTTTTGTTCCGCGACTTCGGGTAATTGTATGAACACCAACATCGATGACTTTGCACTTTTCGTGATGAGACAAAAACAGAGTTTGTGTTGAGCGTACTTACGACTTATTTCTTATACTTTAATAAAGTAAAATTATCAGGAAAAGGCAAAAACGGCGCTCTCGTCACGGAAATTAAACCTATTTTCTCATAGAAAGATCCCTATATCAAAGGAAATAAATTATGGCACAAATTTAAAAATTCCAATAGTTAATGGTTGGATGGATGTTTCCTGAAAATTTGATGCCTATATCTTCAATAGTTGCTGAGAAATTGTCTTTGGTCACTTTTTTTGCAAATTTAAAAAAAAGTGTATCGGTATACTGACATTGATTAATTAAAGTGCAATAACATTTCTTAATCGATTTTGAAATTTTGTTGGTTTTCTCAAATGGGAAAGGGGTTGGAAAACTAAACATTCAATTTTAGTCAGATTCAACAATTTAAAAAAAGTTTTTGCATTGCTTCTTAGTGGTAGATAGAACAAAACAATTATGGGAAATGTCCAGAGTTTTAGTTTTAATATTTAATATATTTTCCAAAGTGTAACCTTTTTTCTAACTTGAACATCAAATGAAGGGGCACAAACACTAGCAATAACTTTTTGTTCTGACCTCGGCCAGTTGGCTATTTCTTCAGTGGGTTTTATTATTACAAATGTATGTACAAAAAATCACAGAAAAAGAATGTGATTGAGATTAAATAATTTGTAAGGTTTCATTTAGATGTAATCTAACAATTGATTTTATTTAATTGCTGGTTTTATTATTTCAGGATTATGGAAAAGAATCACAAGCTCTTGATATCATCACTGAATATTTCAAATCTAAGAAATAAATGTTACAAACCCAAATAAAGTAATGCAGTGTAAAAATCCAATATAAGTAATGTTGTTTTTTTTTTAAACTGTATGGAAAGTCAAATGGGGCGGATTATATTGTTTAATGCACCACAATGCACCATTTCTAACATTTCAAAAGAATTATTACTTTCCTTTACAGGAAGGAGTAATTTTAACCTTTAAAACCTCCCTATAAGCCAGTTTATGGCATCTGAGAGTGTCAACTGCTGTGCTCTCATTTTGACTCTAAATACATTGCAACAATCACAGAATCCTCTTGTAGTTAGGGGTTCTATTGAAACATGTGCCCGTCATCACTAACCTAGTCATTTTTTATGCCATGTTGGGCTTGACATCCTGTTTTTCACCAACTGTGTTAGTAAAGGGCATATACCATGATGGCAGTGTGCTCTGATGGGACCTCAAGTTTTTCATCGTCTTTTGGGCGGAAGGTTATATGTTAGTATTGGTATACATCATTTTAAGAATCGTGAAGTATAAATTATTCACAACAATTAGAATTAGTCTAATCGATTTGGGATCAACAGTTTTTTTTGAATAAGCAAAGATGGGTGTGGTCTAATGCACCCACTTTTAAGTTGTACGGTCCGTTAGTCAAGTGATGGTAGGAGGGTGGTAAAATGTTCGTGGGAAATAAGATCAGTCATGAGGTTTTGATTCCCCGCTTGTATGTGACAAGGAGTAGGGGTTTTCTCCCACTGCTAAAGACCCCTACCCGCAAGGAATTCATGAAATAAAATTGAACCATATGTTAGTCCCGAAATGACCTAGTTTGTGTCGAGTGGACCTAAACCCCATTTCTCTTCTTTATCCCAAGTTTGTAGGTGGCGAGAAACGGTGTCACCTGCCCTACCTGTTTTTTCATTGTCACACACACACACACGCACTATTGAAGTATTCAAATACACAGAGGATATTTGTCGTTTTAGAGTGAATTACATATTTTATTTCATCGAGAAGCAAGAAAACTTCTATTTTCACGAATGCGTAGCATGAGTGAAAATATAAACGTTTTCTTGCTTAGAGATGAAATAAAATATGTTATTCACGACAAAACGACAAATGTTCTATTTATTTTATGATTTTACAATCATTTTTGGTAAAAACAACTAGCCAGTGGAATAACACTTTTATTTCACTGATAAAACGTGGTATTCCACTACTGATCATAAAATAAAATTGTAATATAATCCCGTAATATGGTTTGTCAAGTGGATGTTAAACACGATTTCACTCCCTTAAATAACTCGATAACATGAACGGTAAGTAAATGGTGGTATTCAACCCAATGTCTTTCATTATGATGCGCAATATGTCCATCTTCTTGCATGTAAACGCTTCAAAAACACTAAAAATGGTTTGAATATAGAACATTAGGACGTTAAATTTGATTTCGTTTTGTATATATGATTGTATATACAATGAGGTATGTTAGCCGAAAGGCAGCCTACCCGGTATCCTACTTCTAAACGAAGAGAAAATAGTTTTAGGCCGAAAGACTTGGTAACAGTTTTGTTAAAAATGGCCTTACAGAGTTCTTGAATTGTTTAGTTTTTCCCCTAAGAAGAGCATGTCCATTGGGTCATTAACTCACCCTTAACAAATAAATTGTTTCAATAGTTGAACTGGAATGCACAGGCCATAATTCTATGGGATACAATTACTGCTTATTGAGCAACGTTTCAGCTTGATGAAGACTAAATAGAGGAGCCTAGTCGAAATATCGCTCAAATATAAGCAGTGATTGTATTCAATTTCAATAGAATTAAATACGTAGATATACTTCGAAATCAGATCTTGTCAATCGTGAAAGAAGAACTGTAGCAAAATTCTCATTATTTTTTTTTCTACCCCACACGTTAAATCTAAATTTATTCAAGTGTCTGACATCTACAAATCCTTTTAAAACTGGATGGGGTAATGAGTCCACAACTTTTAGTGAACGCTCTAATTCCACAGAGTAAAACTGTGCTAATTCTGTCACTAGGTCATTGTACCAGTCACGTGATATTTATTTAAAGAATCACATGACCGGCCTCGTGATATGTATAGTTAAAGGAATGACTGCTGAAAATGGCGAGATTTAATACGCTGTCATTCACATTTTGTCTTCTTGCAATATTACCAGGTGGGTGAATATTTACTAATTGTTACCAACTTAGGCTATTACGCAAGACAGAATCCATCCAACTTCCCAATAATAGACTAAAACCATAGAGTTATCTAAAACACACCTGGAATTTATTAAACGTACAATTCGGTTATATTGAGACTGTAGACAATTTACATTTAGGCATATATTGGGGAGAACGAATTTTACACTGCCAGTGGTATTCCCTTGCTCCTCGAATTCCAAATGCCTGGTCATCTTTTATGTGTAGGACCCATCGTCCAAAGTATTGTAGGCCTACTAACCGAACAACTAGACCTATATACTGTTTTAAAAAAGAAACCTAAGTTATAGACATATTTTATTAGGAGATATATAAATGATGGACAGATTCCGTTATCGCTCCGAAATCCCCAATATAAGCTGAAAACGATGACTTCAGATCATATTGTTCAAATCGGACCCAAAATGATTTTAATATTAGGTCTACTCTCAATTTCAATTTGCCGTACCAATACCAAATCTGTCGATACGCCAAATTGTATATTGTAGTGATGGACGCGAAACTGTAGCATGATCTATTTGCTCATTTTCTAATTTAGTGGAAAATAATGTTCATTCTTTCATCAGGAAATGCTGCAGTGGATAGTTTGCGATTTCTTGTCATTGGGGACATGGGAGGATTACCGGTTTTCCCATACACCACACCAGTGGAACAAGGTACTGCGAAAGAGATGGGAATAATGGCCAGCCAATATGGGCCTTCCTTTATACTGGAAATCGGTGATAATTTCTACTATGATGGAGTGGCAAATGTGTCTGACCATCGATTTCGAGTAAGATTAATTAATATCTTTTTACTGTATATGCCCATGTAGAAATGTGGTACAATTGTTCAAATGAACCCCGAGGATCTGTGGTCCGAAGAATTTCCTGGATCTTTTCTGAATATAATTGTGTCGTATACACTTGTCGGACGTAAAAAACACTATTATTTGTTTTGACCTCCTCGGCTTTGAATTATTCATAAACGCTATACATGGGTCTTACGCTATACAGGCGCTCCACAGAGGAAGGGATTTGAAGCCCAACTGTTAACTTAGGTTTCCATCTACCACCAAAAGAAAGGATCAGATAGAATACTCGATAAGCCCTAAGATGCTGTAACAAAAGTTGAATAAAATACAGTTGAAGACCATACACAATCAGAAGTCCTTTTATTTAGAAATGTGTACAAAAATATTATACATACTATACTTTTTAACTTTTGAGAAATGTATAATTTGCATTTGTGAACGCTCTGGCTTGTTATGCCTCTGACCAATATTCTGTAAAATATTAAAATTATTTGTTGATAATCACTTTTGATGTAAATTATAAAAGTAGTTTATAGTTCGAATAGACGTTTATTTATTAACGTCCTCAGATGTAATGTTAATTTAACACGTGAATCGCTTGTTGGATTTTGTTTATTAGGACACGTTTGAAGAGGTATACACAGCACCATCTTTACAAGTTCCTTGGTATCTCGTTGCTGGTAATCATGATCACAATGGCAATGTTACCGCCCAGATAATGTACACTCAAACTTCAGAAAGATGGTAAGACTTCGTCTCAGAACTTTTATTAATTGTGAAGGGATGCGTTCTTTGAAATAATGTACCGATACGTTTGTTGTGTAAAATATTATGCGTCTTGGTTTATATGGCTAAAATTGTAGATTACATTATATTAAACTCCACCTTCATATATATATGGCTATGAACGACTGTATTTAGCGGATTTAGCCTGTTTAGAAATGGGCTGTTTTCTGAAACACTGAAGACTATATCTTTTGAGTATCTTCATCATGGTATCTCTGTAATAACTAGACACATTATATAGTGGATGTGTATCCTTTTCAGGAATTTTCCTGACTTGTACTACCCTCTATCGTTTACTGTACCTGGAACCAGTGATACTGTTGATATTGTCATGATTGATACAGTTAGTTTATGTGGTAATGTGCTCGATGATTTCCATGGTTATCAGCCGAAAGCACCAGAAAATTTGAAAGTAGCGGAAGATCAATGGACATGGATTGAAGAAAATCTGGCTAAAAGCAAGTTAGTGACATATTTTTTTCATGTTCGTTAACAGAATTGGTATTAAAGCTAGATCCAGAACTCCAGCACCGGAAATTCACGATATTTTAAATCCATAAAGTTACGATTAGAATATATAATAGGCGCTGATCATTATTTGCATGTTTAATTTGTATTTCTCGGAAAATATCTGATGTTCACGACTTAATCAGTGATCACGACTTCACGACTAGTGTACGCATATTTAGCGAAGAACTCAAAACCTGAATATTAACTGTAGATAATGTCCCGGCTCGGATTTAATCGGGTTAAAAGAGGCCCATCAAAATGTTTTACCAAACAATTATATATGGTACTGGCTTGTTTATATCGCCCGAAAACTAAACTGAATGTTGGGAACGCTTCAGTTTATCATATGTTTGTAAATACTAAATGAAAATGAAACAATGTTTGAGTGGCACTCCTCGAAAAGATTCAACTTCTACACAAATGACGATCAACTGTTTTAAGTCATAATGTCTGAAAACAGTAACTGCTAAATGAACTCACTGTACCTTGCTACAAGGTATCTGTATCGCAGGATATGTTATACAGATTATAGAATATACTATACATTAAAACATCGACCGAGATAAATCTCCATATTTAAGCTATCAAGGTTGTTTATTTTCCAGAGCAACATATTTATTGGTAGCTGGTCATTTTCCTGTATATTCTATAGCTGAACATGGCCCAACAGAATGTCTAGTAGATAGATTATTACCTATGTTATATAAATATAGAGTTACAGCTTATATGTGTGGACATGATCATAATTTACAGGTTAGTAAAAATATAAAATCAGGAATTCAATGTTGCTGATTTTAATTCCACGATTCAGCATATCGTCTGCCATGTCAAACATTCATATCCATGTTTGTTCATTTGTTCAGGAGAGCCAAAACCGTAAGATTAGTTACGAATGATCATAGTAAAAGAACATTGCATCATCGTAGTAGGCGAACGAATATAATACCGCATTCTACCGGTTTTCAAAACTAATAAAAACAACATTTTGTTTTCAGTAAATCGCAGAATATAATGTATTATAGTCCAATAGTAAGTGCAGGAAGTCCGCACAACGCGGAGACAGAAATAAACATTGTAAAAAAATAAACAAATATCAAATCAAGTGAATGGATCAGGGGGGCAGCCATTAGATCAATGGGAGGAATTATGAGATTTGTATCTGTAATATTGTTGATTTATACTTTTCAGCATTTAAGAACTGAAAATGAAGGAATTCCTTTAGATTTTATTCTGTCCGGCGCTGCAAACTTCATAGATCCAAGTCTAGAACATGTGCAAGCCGTCCCAAAAGGCTCCTCTCTGTTTCACTGGGCTGATTTGAGTGCTCTTGGGGGATTTGTCTTCACTGAAGTTACCGCTAATAATATGACCTTTAATTATATTGATGCAAGCGGTAAGATGTTGCACCAAACGTCTTTACTTCCTCGTAAATTATGATAAAGATTTATAGAAGTATGAAGCTGATTTCAAAATTATTGATGGTAATTTTTTATTCAATTTCAATTAATTGAATAATTTTTTATTCAATTTATTTATTTTTTGTATAAAATAATTATATATATTGTAATAGAAATTTATGCAGATTACTTTATGATTTATATTTATTTTTTTACAATTACATTAAAATGTAACTTTAAATTGGTGCATAAGTAAAACATGTAGAATTATGATTGACAAGTCAGCTTCTTATATTAGTAACAGTTTACATGCTTATATTAAGTCTATAGTTTACATGATTATATTAAGTCTATGGTTTACATGATTATATTATGATCTATTAGTTTACTACCGTTTACACATTGGCATGCATGACAGTTGGAATTCGAAATAAGAGTAGGCCATAGCCCTGCTGTCCAGGCAAAATTTACCCCACAGCACACTGCAAGGTGTAAGCAAGTCTTCATTAGCCCTGTCGGTGCAGATAAATGCAGGACGTTAAACACCCATTTAATTTCATTTCTATTACATCACATGATTATATTAAGAATTATTAGTTTACATGATTATATTATGAATTATTAGTTGACATGATTATATTATGATTATATGATGATATTATAAATTATACGTTAACATGATAATATTATGCATTATTAGTTTATATGATTATATTATGATTACATGACAGTGTTATGATTACATATTAATATTATGATTACATAATACTATTATGATTACATGATAATAATATTATAAATTATTAGTTTACATGATTGTATTATGAATTAATAGTTTACATGATTATATTTTGAATTTACTTTATTATGATTATATTATGAATTATTAATTGTGATTACATTATGAATTATTAATTTACATGATTACGTTAATATCTATTGATTTTATGATGACTATATTTATTTGTCTATCATATCAAATTTTTATTGATTTGCACTTTTGTGATTTTAATTTGTTATTTAGATTGAATGAGTAAATAAAAACTTTTATAGAGCTTTTAATTTTGTAATTAATGTATAACTGTTTTAAACATTATGAGCAATATTTCTTATTTTTATATATTAATATAAGTAAATGTGTAGAAATACACGAGAATGGCATATTGGTGCATGTCTTAATTTGTTCTAATTACATGTATAAACGAATTCCATAATGCTTTTGCTTCATTTTTATATATCATTGCCGAAAGCTTGATGCCAAACTGATTACATTTGTGGTTACAATTGATGGACTACGCATCTATACCAAATGTCTTTCAAAATTCTTTGTAGAAATTCCAAGAAAATATTATGTCTAAAAAATTATGTAGTTTATGAGAAGAAAAAACAGTGTAACATAAAATTACCACTTATTTCAAGTGTAGCATATTTATATATTTATATATTTATGACATGCATGGGCATTCAGGGTAACGTATATTAAATTATTTAATATGATAAAAGCATTGTGCATTTTAATTAACTGCTGTTAATTGTTCGATGCATATTGGAGGTAACTGACACTATTCGTAATGATATGATTGTCCATATTATGCACATAAATTAATTCACCAAGCAATGACTGTGATAGATCGTATATTATTAACATAAATTAATAGCACAGATATGATCATTGGTTATGTGTATCAGAATTCAGCATACCACGTGTTAATTTATAAATATTTATTTTAAATAAAATATTTGTATAAGCTGTATAAATAATGAACTGGTTTTTACTAGCATTTATGAATCTTAAAAATACATTATACAAGAGCTAAATCTCCCTATTGCAGGTCTTTCTTTAGGCCTGAAATGTTTTCTAAATTATTAATTAGACATTAATTAACTTATCCAGGCCAAAATCAAACCTCGATGGCATCGGATTTCTCCGATATTAAATAGATTAGAACAGTTCAGCCATATTTTGATTTAAGCTAAAAATGGAGGAGCAGGTCTTGGCAATGGATTCACAATAAATGACTTTATCTAGTATTTTGCGATCAGGAAACATTTATGTTTATCGGGAAATACCTTTTATAATATCAACATATATAAGTTATGCTTCATTTCGAAAGATAAAAATTTATTTTATTGTTTAGTATGGGATTTATTTGAATTACACTACGGACAATCTGGACTTCAGACTAGACTCTGACAAGCATAATTCCCTTGATCTGTGTGTCCGTACAAACCTTTATGTTAAGACTATGAAAATGATTTTTTTAGGGGTGACTATAAATCCACATATTCTAAAGTAATTAGTGCCCAGAGATAATCATGTGCCCTCGCAGTTTGAAAGAATTACCCTACATTCCAGGACTATTGTCCTAACATACTCCTGTTGTACTAATGACAATATTGTGCCCATCCGTCCTGTTGCCCGTCCCAGCGATACCAAAATCAAATCGCGCTCGATTGGTTCTCCACTTCAGTGAGACAGGGAACCAGTCTACGCTGCTGGTGATCAACAGAACTGATTGTGTCTGGTATCTTATTTATTTGTGTTTGTCAATAAAGTTCCCCGGGATTTTGCAACCTGGCTTCTCACTCTCGGTAGTGCAGGACAAACGATCTGGCAAAGAATAGGGTAGCGTGGGGTAAAGCGCACACCTTAAGAGAAACTCTCTGCCCAATTCATATTTCTCAACCTTCTGAAACCAATTCAGGATTATATCAAACTACTAATGATATTCTGTTATTAAACATAATTTTATCGGGTTATGGTTATAATTAGTAAACTTATGAGCAAATTACGAAAAACAACAAATTGGGCGGAATACCCCACACATGGGGCAAAATGCCTTTTGAGCAGGGGCAGGCCGCCCATAGTAGGCTTCCTGCCCCATCATGGTTAAAGGTTAACAAATATTGCAACCCATCGTGTATGTTATTATATTATGTGCTATATTTATTTTGTACATGTAGTGGAGAATGAAAATTAATTGAAATGGGGTTTATTAGCGAAATGTGTTATATCGGGCCAAGCTCATGTTTATTATTTCTATTCAATTGTTAAAGGTGCAGTGTGTGAAATTTTGCCTATGTGTTAATTATATTGTATCTTATACATACTGTTATAATTATTTTGGGGGGTTGGATGGTCGAATGGTTAGCACGTGCACGTTGTATCATGTGGTCTGTCATTGAGTCAACTGGCGTGGTTTCGATTCCCCAGTTGTACGTGATAAGGAGTATGGTCGCCTGTCCAACCTCGTGAGCTTTCTCCGGTTTCCTCCAACTGCTAAAGACCCCTACGCGCAACAAATTCTTGAAATGAATTTGAACCATGTTGGTTTGTGAAATAAAAGTGAACCATGTTAGTCCCGAAATGACCTAGTTTGTGCCGAGTGGACGTTAAATCCCATCTCTCTCTCTCTCTCTCTCTCTCTCTCTCTCTCTCTCTCTCTCATACTTTGTATACTGTCCCTTTAGGTCGTTTTGATACAATTAAATTATCCAAATTATAGCTTTTCCCATAAATAAATTCGTCCCACCCGAACGACTATACGCTATCCCCGGCACCACTGGCAAGGGCCAGGGGGAATCACGCCGAAAAATCCCGAAGAACTTTCTTGGCCAACCCGGGGACCTCAAGGTACGTATAAGAAGAAAACAGAAGTAATGTTGGTAAAAACTTTATTGTGAACAGGAAATTTAAATGGTTTAACCGCTTAGAAGTCATCATCGGAATCACAATTTGGACATAGAAACTCTGGAGTACCAGCCGTACAATCTTCGTGTGCCCAATTATGACACTTCTGGCACTGGGCCCATACGTCCCCGGGCAGTGTGTTGCCATATGGTTCGCCACAAATGAGACATGGCCATTCTTCTGAATTCCCGTTTTTGGCATCTCGACAAACGGTTTTGATAGATCGCGTAGACGCTTTTGATATCTTTGGTTTTGATTTCGAAATTTTCTTTGAATTTTGTTTCTTCTCCAACCCTAACTTATATGGTGACGATGTTATTTAAGCCGCGGATTCGACCTTCCTTGTTCTGGATCGCTTGGCCTTTATCTTAGGAGTTGGTGAAAGCTCTTGTATTATTTCCAGGATTTCTTGGTTAGAGGCTGTTTTTGTTACATGTGGATCGGACGAGGCTATCAATGATTCGTCATTAAAATTATTATTACTGTCAGTTGTTGGAGTAGGCACAAAGCAAATAACCTTTTCAATACTTTCTGTGATTGGTAACAAGCAATTGTAATGGCCCACGTCAGTTCCAACCTTTGAAAATTGTGTATACAATGGATTCTGAAATTCTTCTCCATAACTGGCAATCATATTACCATCCTTATAAACGCGAATGGGTCGTTTCAGAACTTTACTTGCTGTAATAATTTCTAGTTCTCCAGCCATAGATAGTGGTTCTGCCATGGAAGCAATTCTGTCTTCTATAGACGAGTATTGTAAGCGACTTGGCATATCCAAACTAAGGCTTTTATATTCCTTGTAGTTATCACACATTGATGATGTGACTAAGGACCTTAAACCATCGGCTTGAATGCGTTCTGATGGGTCTAAAATTTTATTCTGAAGAGAACCATCGTCGTTCCTTGCAGCATGATGAATTCGGGAATCAATTCCAACAACTAAGCTTCGGAAAAGGCACCGGCCGTCACCTCTTATTCGGATAAGTTCCATTTCTTGTGTTTCAGATTCAGATGGTGCCGATTCGAAGAGAACGTCGCTTTCTAACAGTGGAGTTGTTCCACTTTCCATAAATATGGGATGTAGCTGTCAAAAGTTCAGTTTCTGAAACATTAAACGATAGATAATCGTGCTCTTTAGGACCAGGCAAATTTTGTGGTACTTGTGAAATATTAAGCTGGTCTTCATCCGTAACGAGTGACAGAGCAAAATCATCTTCATTGAAAATGTTTGAATTCGCCGGCCATAACCCGCAGGCTCTAAATCCATTTACAGCTTTGTCTGGAGTAGCAGATGATAGAAAGGCCTTCGTCGTTAGTCTAGCTACTTCGTGAACACTCAGACGTATCCCGGGGTTTTCCAACATCCATTCATCGGCAGCGGAGTTATATCAAGACTTAAATGATTTAAAATATGACCTGTCTAAAGGCTGCATCTTATGGGTAGAGTGTGGTGGTAATGTGATCAAGTCTATTCCGTTGTCTCTGCAGTATTCAATAGCAGCTAATGTCTTGTGACTGTGGTGGCCATCGAGAATTATAAGACTCTGATTCTCCTTTGATGTATTAGTGAACTTTTGAAAATGTTTCAACCATTCAATGAATAGATCACTATCAGTCCACCCACTTGGACTAGCATGTCCTGTTGACTGTAGTGGGGCACCCATCATCAAGGAATCTACCATTCTCTTTCGCGGGAAAATAAACATGGGTGGAAGGTATACACCGACTGCACTCATGGCACATATAACCGTTACCAGGACTCCGCGTTCGCCACTAGTTATTTTACCGACTTGGCGTATACCCTTCCGTGCAATAATTTTAGATGGTTTTTGAACTGTTGTCAATCCCGTTTCATCCATATTCCAGACCCTAGAAGCTGTATACTCTTTATTTTGAATAACCTCTTTATAGATGTCAAAAAACTGTTGCACCTTTGGTTTGTTGAAACCAACAGCTCTGGAAATTCTAGTTCCCTGTGGCACTCTTAAGGTGACATTGTTACGTGACAGAAATCCTCGCAACCAATCTTTACCAGCCAACTTTGATGCTTTGTTAAATGGGTGGTCACAATTCGTCCTTTCGGCTAAATCATAGGCAAGTTTTTGAAGATTTTTTACTGTCAATCCATACAACCGTTTTTCCATATCTATAACGTGATTCTTAAGAATCTCTTCAATATGTGAAGGAAGGGCTTTTCTGTAGCGACCAAATTTAAGAATACCTGGCTGACCAACTAGTCCATCTCTATGTCTCCTTAGTGTTCTTGTGGGTACACCGAACTGTCTGCTAGCTCGTATCAGAGGTGTGCCATATCTAACAGCGTCTAAGGCAGAAGATAGATTTGAATCACCATAAGCTCCATATTGTGTCAGCCTTTTGTATGTTCGAACCATGATTCTAAAACAATAAAAAAAAAAGATAAAATGTTTGTATCATTTTGGGGTAATCAGCCCAGTAGGGTGGGGTATGTCGACCAGGTATAGGCGTTATGCCCCGCGCAGTAGTGGGCTATTTGCCCCACTTCCACCACTCGCGCAAATTTGAAAGTGGCCGACGTTATGTCGACGCTAGATAAACAAGGCTTGCACCAAATGAAGCATTAAATACTGGTGTTATTATCGATATAAATTTGATTCCTGTAACTTTTATAGGTACCAAGCTACACTCAATGACCCCCCATCTACAAATTAAGAAAAAGTGACCCAAAAATTTGAAAGTCACACAGAATACATACCCTTTTATCTGCAACTTCAATATTTTGGAGGACGCATGCCGCCATTAAAACACTACCGTGTCATAACACGTGACAATCTACTGCCAATCATATCCGAGATTTTCATGGTGGGCCCTTAACCCCACGTAAGCACTTTATATGACGTTACCCTAGTGTCTAGTTGTGTAGATGGGACAAAAACACTAGATCCTGTATACACATCGGCGTGCACATAAAAGAACCCTTCACATTTGGAATTCGATGAAGAAATGACATTGTCCATAGAAAATTTCCGTCATTTCCGTCCTACTTTTCTGCTCCTACTGGGCTGGTGAAGACGTGCATACGCTATACTACAGTGTACTATGAGGGAAACTTTTCCCGGATAGCGGCGCTACGGCCTACACTTACGTGCACGCCAATATGAACATTCGACCTCGATTTTTTGTCCCACCCGAACGATTATACGTTATCTCTTGCCAGACCCTCCGTCCTGCCATTGTCAATAGAAAATTTCCGTGATAGCACTCTGCAGTCTGCTTAACCTATCTTCAATAGTCCGATTGGTGCAGAAAAGTAGGAAAATGAAATGAAATCGTGTTTAACGACCTACTGTTCTGCTCCCAGGGTGAAAATGTCACATTATCAGGTTAAAATGTCGTGATGTCGGGTTGTCGCCTTATGAAGGGCGACACCACGACATCACGATATGATACCAATCAACCACCATAATTTCTCTCTCGACACAAATGCAAGGTATCGTTCATTTTAAGGATTAGGCTACCAGTACCATTTGATGCCCTTTTTTCTTTACTTGTAGGCCGTTTAGTTCTTGGTTGTTCAGGTCTCAATTCCTGAACCAAGTGGCAGGTATGGATTGCCATAGTTAAAGATATACGCTAACGCGAGTCTAGGCTTAACATGTGCCACAGAATCAAATATCGCCCACAAAATGCGACAAGTGATGGTAATGATGGCTGGATTAGCAAGCCACATTATTGAACAATGTACGTCTTATATACGTCTTATGTACGTTTTGATTGCAATGTCTGTGTAGGCTAGTTTGTGTGTCTTGTCCGCATGTTTGTAATACTGGTTTGAACAGCGTGTGGTGCGGCCTATCTGCACTTAAACTGAGGAATGAGGAATGCTCTCTTTGTTGGGATTTGCACTGTGTGCTCATTATTTATTTTGATCACCAAATTGATTGTTAATTGTAACCATTTGAGTGTTTTCCGAAATTTTATCTGGGCTATCGCCCTTATTATTGTTATTTTTTTATCCGTTCGAACATGTGACGTCAATTGGGAACTATCGCTTCATTCTAATGCCTCTTTCTTGTATTTATTGCTAACTTTTTCTGGGTTTTTTTTTGTTAGTTTGTTTCATTTTGAGTGAAGCCTTTATGATTACAGATACGGAACGGTACAGCACATCCCACAGATCCATTCGCTTGATTTGATATTGTTGTTTATAGACTATAGACTACGTTTGGTAGCTTATTCATTGTTTATTTGTGTGTATTGTTCGCAGGGTTGTCTTATAGGCTAACTCTAAAAGAGTAACGTGACTACTTTTTGCAAATCCAAACAGCTCAATATTTTGATTAGAAGCCTAAAGGCAAAATATTTCTTCACATTTTGGCTTCAAACACCGGGGTCCGTCAGAGGGTGGGGACGCAGCTGGGACACCCAAGTAAGGTAGGCTATGCCAAGTAATTTTTTTTAAAAATAGTGTTGTTATAAATTGATAAAAAAAACAACAACATAGGGCCTACACTGTTAGCCTACTTAGCCTAAAGTGGAAAAAACCGGTGACTCTTCTGAATGTGGGTATCTAGTGACCTTGGTAGGCTTAGAATCGAATTCTGTTAGTCCACTTTTTTTTTAAATAATAGGTGATTTAAAAACTATTAGCCACCTAACTGGGCTTTGGCGCCGTGGGTTCCCGGACCGTCCTCATTCCGTTTGAGACTCTCGTCACCTTCAGGGTAAGACTATCCGGCATCACCAGGTAATCAGGGCCTAGTCCGAGCCTGTAGAACGCTACAATGATTGTGAGCCCGTCAGTGTCGTGCTCTGCCGCCAGTGATCATGCACGCGGTTATGATCGCTCTAAGTAGGTTGAATGGTATCCCATCATTAAAAAAGAAACTAAAGCGCCCTCGTTTCGTTAGGCGCTACAAATATCGATGTTTTTCAATATTTTTGCCAATTGCAGACCCTTTTCCGACCAATGACAGCGTGGGTTTGTTTTTCCATTTGTTTGCCTGCATAAATTTCCTGTCAATCATGTGCCCTACATTTGATTATTATTACACCAGCAAAACTAAACGTAATAAATGTATTTGGTGTGCCATTTGTGTGAAATCTCAGCTTCTGATTTTCAGCAAAGTGACCTTTGCTTTGCCGAGTTGTTTGTCCCAGGGCCCGGAGGCCCTGTCGCGGGGCCCGACAAACGCGCATTGAAAACTGAGACCGCTTCTTATGAAGACCAGACTTGATTTTTAGATGAATAATTTTATTTGATAAATTTTCATTTATTTTGCAATACGGTTGAACCCTATGGTAGCTCTGTTTGTTTTATTCGTTTGGTATATAACCGGTTTAACATTATTTCTTATTATAAATTGTTTTTTATGTCAATATATGTACCCTTGAAAACATCAACTAAAATCCTTTATATTATAGGCTACACGAATACAATTGAAGTGGAGTATATAAAAAAAAGGAAAAGTGTATTTTATCGCGGTGATTTTTACAATGCAAATAGAATAAGGTAAGCCTTTAGTATAGATATTTCGACCATTGAAATAATTCTGCTTTTCCTTATTTTGTGGGCCTAATATATGTCAGAATTCTTCTCGAAGGACCATAGACGTAGCAGTGAACCGTCCATTGTTCGGGCAATGTATTTCCGTCTTTCAGACACAGACACCAGCGAATGGGGAACATATTGTTGTGTAGTTGTGTAATTAAATAAACATAAACAACCATCACAGCTTTTAAAATTCGTTTTAGTTAATGATTGATTCATTCTGAAAATTCGGGTGAATTCGAGTTTCAGCACGAGTTAGGGTCAATACACAAGTCGTTGCCGATATTTCACATTTGGTTTTATCGCTCAAAGAAGAAAGATGCCAGCTCTGAGACTATATTTTTTTGTTTTTCATGTTCAAGTGTGCAGTGCGGGGAAGGAAAATTTTGCCCGATGAACCAGAACCGCGCTGTTTCGTCAACGAATCCCAATAGCCAAGAGATCTTATACGTGCACCCCTGTGTGTACACTGTGGAGTTGGCCGTGTAAGTTCCCGGGATTTTTTTTAGCGTCGTTTCTCATTGACAGTGGTGTAGAACGGATGGGACGAAATAAGAAAATCAACTGAACTGACATATTTTAATCTGATTTAACTATATATATTTGTACCAATTAAATTGTTATATCATTTCTTGTTCTATTTATAGAGAATGGTGTTTATTAATAAATTATGGTTATCAATCCTGATCACGTGAAACACTTTAGGTTTGAACGCCATCATTCTGTTTGGGGTGTTACACTTATGAGCCAACTTGTTATGTATATAATGTAATAGCTTCTAAAAAGAGATTCAATAGTTTCCACCCTGTTTAAACGATGTCTTGGATTATCGTAACCACGTTTTGTATTGGCCTAGTTTATGGTAAGAAACGTTTAGTATGTTGAAATAAAATAAAATTGCATACTGCTATTCAACTATTTTCCTCTATAGTATTTTGGAAGGATTTATTGACTTAAACTGGTTAACTGTATCTTAATTATTTTTAGTTCTGTGCGAGATATTGCCCCTTTCCATGCTGTTGTTCCAACCCGTATTGTAATATTAACCAGTATTATAATAAATGTGATGATTATAATAAAATTTATTTAAACCCTTGTTTTAATAATTGTAATTCGTATATTTGGCCATACAATAACATATACAACCTGGATAGTCGGTTGCAATTAGATTTGATCATCGACTGTATGTGAATATTATGCTTTTACACTGTGTGCAGTATAAATATTTGAAACGTATTTAAATACTGCATACAAACGACCCTTGAAATTACCTGACATACAATCAAAATGAAACGGTATCGTTTGAAAGAGATAATCATTACAATGAATTTTGTTTCTATTTGATGCTCCAAAATGAGTATACTTTAGCAACAAATTGCAGCGGAGAGTTGGTCACGCAAAATTTTGTAACGTTGCATTCTTTGAAAGATTAATTTCTATCCCATAGTAGCTCCAGTCATAAAGGGGCCAGCCTACATAAATGCCGGGTCCTACCTGAATTAAATTAAAAAACAATGGTCCTTGCTATCGAGCACATGACGGGTTTGTTTATAGCATGGCCGGCATACTTCTCAAATTCTCGATATATACATGTACTTGGTGTTTTCGACTAAAATTGTCGATTTATTACTTAAAATGTCGGTCAAGAAACTTAGTATCTGTTCTCAAGCGGAGCTAATTGCAAGTTTAGTAATAGGTTGCGTGGGTGATATGACATGTAATTATAACATACTCTTTAAGTTTTAATTCCCATCATCTTTCTTATGAAACATATCTAACGATGGAACTGTCTGGTCAAGCTACTTTATATTTTCTTATTCCCAGGATATTCTTCAAATGACGAGGCACATAGATTTATGGTGATAGGAGATATGGGAGGTTTACCCTTCTTCCCCTACACCACACCAGTAGAAATGGGGGTAGCTAAACAAATGGCGGATATGGCTAACAAAATAAATCCAGATTTTATTTTGTCGCTTGGTGATAATTTTTATTTCAATGGTGTTCGTGACGTCACAGACAGTCGTTTTGAGGTGAGATTTTAGTGGGTAAAGTTTAACATTATAATTTACTTTATCTGAAACATACAAAACCGTTATGACTTTATGTTTATATGTTTAAAGATACTTTTAATGTCTATATTTTGAAAGTTATAAATGGTACTGCATAATTAGAATAGACCCCATGTTCCTGAAGCAACGACTGCGAGTTTTACAACATGTGGTCGTTGCTTGTTTACTGCACAATTCCCGAACTTAATAGTTATATTATCTACAGACACGTGAGCAGTAGCGTCCAATCAGAGGTTGTGACATCGCGACCTCCACGAAACCTTGACATTGAATGAACCTTGAACTTTGCAACTCGATTATCACAGGTAGACATTTTAGCTTGAAAGCGCGAGACTTGGTATTCGCGACGATCGAGGAATCTGATAGGCTCACAAGCTGGGCTTGTACCCAATCGAAGTTAGTGCCAAATTATGCAGGGTACTCCATGAAGGCCTTGATAAGATGTACGTAGTTAAAGCGAGACTAAGCCTCCTATTGAAGATGGAATAGACCCGTTCATGCTTAGCATTCTTACTTTAAAGCAGATAGATCTTTTCAAAATAAGAATGGATAAACTGGTCACTAGCAATTTTTTTTAGGGAACCCCTTCTTTCATTTTATAGAAAGCCTTAGTGGTGCGGGGGTGACATACTGGTGAAATACATACCACCGTTATTCTATGATCAACACACTTGAGGCAATAAAGTCCACCGATAATTATTTTGACTGTAGTCTTGGGCTGCATTATCATAGATGCATTTGACATAAAATAGGTGTGTCTGAAATCAACAAACCTCCTTGAGTACTTCAAATAATTATAGCAAAATAAAACCTTATTAGATAAACAAGTGAGTACGTGGATATTCAATTCAGTGATAAGGGTATAGTGACTCGATACTTTATCTATGAACTATCCATGTATTCATCACGTACCAATGGGTTGTGACCGATACAATATAGATTATAAATACTATCAGTTATACCAGAGATAAAAGACACTATTTACTTGATAAAAATTTTGTGAAATTGCTTACAGATAAAAGACGATTAGAAAACGCTTATGTCAAAATCTCGCTTCCCTTGAGCAGATCATAAATAACTTTTTCTTTTTTTTCTCTTGTATTTTCAAGGAAAGTTATGAAAAAATATTTGACTATCCATCTCTAAAAAGACCATGGTACCTTATAGCAGGAAATCATGATCACCACGGGAATGTTTCTGCAGAAATAGCTTACAGTAAAGTTTCTCAGAGATGGTAATAACGAAACGTTCTTGAAGGTTTCGAGGATATAATTAAACTTTCGAAAATCGATCTTCTATTCCCAAACGAATGGAATCAAAACATGTTTCATATGCGTGTAGTCCTGTTTATAAGTTATAAGTTAGACAGGCGACCCTACGCCAGTTGACTAAATGATAGACCTTATGATACAGCGCGCACATGTTAGCCATTCGGCCATCCAACGACCCATCACAAATAGAGTAACTGTGTGAAATAATTAGTCCATGTTATACAATTGACTCTGCTTTGTCTTTGGGTTACGTTCATCTTTGTTTTAGTACGATATAGTCATTGTTGGTTGTTTTACGCCATCGTGTTCGTGAAACCTCATGATTGTTTGAAACTGAGAAATGCATTCTTTCTATAGCAAGGTTAATATATTTAATATCAATAAGCACAATTCAATGTTGAAAACTAATTGCAACAAAGAGCTTACTACGAAACCCCTCCAAAAACAAAGAAAACAACAATATTCGCACTACTTCAACTTTTGATAAACAAATTACGAAGGAAATGATACATTGTTAATCGGTCCTACTCCTACATTAACTATATATGTATATTGCCAACCGACGTAAGTTACAAATGGGACACTATTTTTGATGTTAAGCTACGTGTATGCGAAGATACACAAACTATGATAAGGTTTTTTTTTACATACATTAAATGCATTTACTAGTACAGAATTTATTGAATGTTTCAGGAATTTTCCAGATTTTTATTACCCGCTTTCTTTTAAACTGCCTGGTACTAATTCAACTATAGATATTCTGATGTTAGATACAATAACTCTATGTGGAAATACAGAGAGTGATTTTAAAGGTTCACAGCCCATAAAACCTGATAACTACCAGGCATCTGAACAACAATGGGCGTGGTTAGAACAATCTCTAGCAGTTAGCAAGTAATTTAACATCTATTACTACTCAAGCGCGTAATTCGTGACCACCAAATCGTGTTGGCAGTTTACCTTATTCGGTCCCGCGACCGCTACCCCACTTTTAAATACTTCCACTCGCAGAAAGAATCCCCGAAATTTCTTTTAAAATAGTCCATAGTTGGTAATGTATAGGCATTAGTATCGCTCAATAAGGGAATTGCCAGTTGAAACGACCCAGTCATAGTATAGTCATGTACTTGTCAATATAACTACAACGTATGCTTGTCGTGATTAGACAGCAAAGTACAGTTTGTTCACATCTCAAAATGTTTATTTGTATAACGGTTGTTGGCACCAAGGCACCTTTGTCATAGAAGTTTTAGTACCAGAAACCCAATTAAAATAAAATCTTTTAACGCTTTATTCCTAATGTGTTCCAGAGCAACATATTTATTGGTAGCTGGTCATTTTCCTGTATATTCTATAGCTGAACATGGCCCAACAGAATGTCTAGTAGATAGATTATTACCTATGTTATATAAATATAAAGTTACAGCTTATATGTCTGGACATGATCATAATTTACAGGTAGATAACACATATATTTATTATTGACAAATTGGCTATACATTATCGCTCAAAATATTTAGACTATATATTTCTTCGATATTATTTATATGGAAAAACTGCTATCTCGCTATAAGTATTCGGAGTATGACGTTAAACCCTATTTTATTTGATTTCATTTCTTAAGTACATGTGATTATGATACCACACAATATTCGAAAATTAATTAGCCCGAAGAAGAGACAATGCTCATTACAAAACTTTGCCTTCCCTTCAATTGAAAGTTGATACCTAACATATTTCAAGCAAAGTCTGATCTAACGTAGAAAAGAAAATACATGTAAGTTAATTAATCGAAATATTGCAGATTATTTCGTGATTTTCTTGGAAATAGATTAACATAATTTCTAAGAAACAACATCTAGAGTATAACAAAAATGTATAACGTCAACGATCGGTACTCGTAAAATATGATAATCAAATTGTAATGTAGTTTTATAATTTTATGAATTTTATAATACTTTATTTTACAGCATTTGCAAGATTCCCAAAATGGGGTGACGGCGGATTTCTTTGTTGTTGGTGCCTCAAATTTTATTGATCCAAGTCGAGCAAACGCGAACGCGGTTCCAGTTGGCGCATCTAAATTTCATTGGGCTAATCTCTTGTCTCTAGGAGGTTTTGGTTATGTAGATGTGTCAACCAGTAATTTGACTTTTTCATTTATTGAAGCTGATGGTAAACTACTGTATCAGACAGTAATGAAACCTCGTACTCTTTAATGTTCTTATTATTTAATTTCCCTTATCCAGTCATGCTTACAGTTATTAAAAAAATCCGAATTATTGAAATGGAATAATACATATTTTTATTTATTCATATCATATTCAAAGTCTCAAGGGGATGATTGAGCAAGACTGTTGCTGATAAACCAAAGTAGCTGCCAATGGCGCTAGTTTATATAATTTGATTGACTAATGCTGTGCTTGAGTAATCGATCATTTAAATATGTCTATATTTTCCATGACCATAGATATGGATTGTTCAAAATCCCCGTTTATATTATATCAATATGTTAATAATTTATTTAGTTCGATTGTTTATATTTGTTATTTATTGTACTTACTTTCGTGACGTTCTATATAGACTGTGTATGGAAAAAATCTTAATCTTAATCTGCACATTTTTTTTAATTTAGTTAGCGCATCATAGATATTAGTACACACTCATTTACAGTTAATTCGCGATTCTTACCAGACTACAGCACTGGGTTTTAGTAGGTTGGTTTAGTGTGAATAATCATATCCTACTCCGATGCAAATAAATATGAAATAGATCGGTATACCTAAATATGAAGACGACTTTAAGGACAGTGTGTCAACAAACTAATCTTAGATTTTGCAGTTGAAGATCTAAACAGAGAAGCTTTTCTAATCTTGTATAAAATGAAATGAAATGGAGATTAACGTCCTACTGTTCAGCTCCGTCTTGGCCAATAAAGTCGGGTTATGACGGTAATTTTGAGCCGCCGGAGCCTACTATGATATAGAATGCAAACTGCCGGAGATCTTTTACATGCACGTCAACGTGTACACGGGACCTATGTTTTACGACCCATCCTAACGACTATACATTTTCTATTGCCAGGTGCTCTGTCCAGCACCACTGACAAGGGGGGATCACGGTGGAAAATCCAGAACTTCCTTTGCCAAAACCAGGATCGAACACGGGACCTCCAGGTTAGTGAGCCAACAGCTCCTCTAACCTTACACAATGATTAGTAAGTCAACTTCATGATAAAGGATTTCTAACTTTACGGTGTATCGAATTCAGATCATATCACCTCATTAATTGAAATGTACATGTTAATTATTAAAAAGTTTGTTTATCTAAATATACCTGTTTTGGTGGTTTGTTTCATGAAGCATTAATAGACTCAGGTATGCAGTACCAAATATACGAAAAAAAATTGATGTGGTAATGTAGTATTGATTAGCTGAATCTGCTTAGAAATATCTCCGACAGTAGCATTCAAACAGGCGTATGCTGTTTTTTTCTGTTCAAGTGTAATCTGGCATAGGTTGTAGTTTGAGCCGAATTGGTAGAACTATCAGTATGAAACTTTGGTTTTGAACAAAATACATAAAAGTCCACGAATAGCGTTGGCATGAAAGAAGCACATGGGGGTGCCAACGGCTACGTACCCACCTGTGTACCTAAACAGATCTCGCCACCCACCCCAGAAAATGTTGAATTAAGATGTGTGTAATTAAGATTGTGAGATGAGATATCTTTCATAATAAAAATTCTGGCTCAGTCACTGATAGTGCTGGGTATTTTGGATCCGGATTTGCCATCGCCTACTAACATCAAAATATCACTACAACCATTAATCTAGGTTTCCACTGTAACGATTCGCGCTACGATTGAAATCGTGGAGTCATTGTAATGATACTATCAGGCCTTATCATATATTTGAGGTCAGTCGTAGCAATCGTGTTGATCGTATCGAAACGTATCCGAACGTATCTGCACGTATCAGATCGTGGACTCAATAGGGACAATCCCATCGAAACGCATTGCACGACAGTAGGAACCTAGCATTAAAATAATCTCACAGAATTTACTTTAAATGGGTTTGGATCAGTTTCTATATGAGACTTTTAATTCACATTCAAATTAAATGTAGAAAAAAAAAGTTAAAATAAAAATTTAATAAATAAAAATAACATTTGATTCAAATATTACATAAAGTTATACTAAGCTTTTTATATTTTAAATTTGATGTAATAGAAGACACGTTATTGCATAAACAAATTACAAGGTTATGTGCATATATACAAATAAAAATAATAGAAAGATGCATGCAGTAAGCAAAGATAAATATACATGTACATTATTATACAAAGATACACAACTTTACAAAGACATGAACGAATTGTATACAAAAGCTCCCAAATATTCTAAAATACCTACATTTTTATTGATCATCAGTATCTTAAATTGTTGCGAGCCACGGTTGCTAAGTGGTCGAGAAAGTTTGTTGGGATTTTCCGGCCTGGCTTCCCCTTGTCAGTGGTGCCGGATGGGGGGACTGACAAGGACAGCCGTCCAGTCGTTCGGATGGTACCAAAACCGACTGCCAGAGTATACATTAGCGTGCACGTAAAAGATACCTTGGCAGTAGGAATTCGATATGAGTAAGCCATGGTGCAGCTGCCTGGGCAAAATTTCTCTCATAGCACACTGTATGGCATATGCCGTCTTCATTAGATGGACAGAACAAGCTAACAAAGGTTTTTTTTTTACAATCAGTGGTCATAATCCAGCAAGTTACGGTCTGAAGTATCAACATTAGGAACCCAGATCTTTGGGATTTAAATATATAACTGGATGAAAATTGTGACCTCTAGAGGATCCACAAGCTAAACACGAGACCCAGTCGGGTACATGCCAATATCGAAAGAAACCAAGATCTTTGGGAGAAATGCCTATATTTCAAGTTCTGTCAACTTCGGGTAACAATTGTGACCTGTTGAGTGTCACAAACAAATTATGGCCGGACAAGTGGACAGTATGGCGACAGCAGTATACATCCACAAGAACATGTAGTCGTATAAAAATCAGGACCGGATGAAATGATCCCTCTTAAATTAAAATAACAGCTCTGGTCTGGTATCTGTGTTCTTCCTTGAATAAAATGAAATGAAATGAAATGGAGTTTAACGTCCTACTGTTCTGCTCCTAACCTGGGCTAATGAAGACGGGCATACGCCATACAGTGTGCAATGAGGGAAATTTTGCCCGGATAGCGGCACTACGGCCTACTCTTATATCGAATTCCAACTGCCAAGGGATCTTTTACGTGCACGCCAATGTGTACACGGGACCTCGGATTTTCGTCCCATCCGAACGACTAGACAGCTTTCCTTGTCAGCCCCTCCGTCCTGCATCACTGACAAGGGAGAACCACGCCGGAAAATCTGGATGAACTTTCTCGGCCAATGCAGGGATCGAACACCCGACCTCCAGGCTAGCGAGCTAGCGTCTTACCCACTTAGCCACGTGATCCCCCTTGAATAAAAAGAATATGTTATGTATTGGGTTGGTTAGAATATTGGTTATATGACAGTCTCCATATGTAATAAGCTGTTATCTATCAACTTCATCATTAAGTTAATTCACCATATTTGAAATGACAGTTTAAGAAATGTTACTTTAATTTTAAAATGAAATGAGCATTTTAAATTTTATCTAGTTAAAGGGCTAATCCCGATATTTCTTGGAGAATAAAACTGCTTAATTTTGTGTTAAAATCCCTTAAAATACTCTACCTTAGGCCCGAGCAACTAACACAATATTTGTGATACGTTTTAAAACAACTTAAACCCGTCAGTCTTTATCTGGAAATGGAGACCGGTGTCCCAAGATGTATTATGCGGTATCTGGATAAAACCAGACGTTTATTTTATAAAAAATAATGTGTAGGTGAAATTTACCTTTCGTTATCAAGTGACGCACATGGGTCATTCACAATAAATAGCTCCCAAGGAACGGAAATCGATTATCAGATCACCCAACGAAAAAACTGATCCGAAATCTTAAAAGGGTTACGTGTCGGGATAAGCAGTTTTGATGTTCACGTCCAAACGACCCAATATTTTGAGCTGGAATTTTGAGAGAAGGTATATACATCATTCCTCTATATTTTGTCGGTTAAATTTCATACGTACTCTGACTTTTATTTTTCTGACTCTCTTGAAATCGGGATAGTCCCTTTAAGTATTTGCAAATTCTGTGCGAATACCCACTACTACAGTACTTTGTCTCTGGTTTAGACATGCAAATCCTTATCCAATTAAACTACATAATACATATGTTCTGTTTTCAGAAAGAATATAATTATAATTATAAATAGCTCACCTTTATTGAAAGATGTCAATTCTTTATTCTGGCATCCACTACCATTCTTTTTAATGATAAAACTTGGTTTTTGGAATAAATAAACAACTAATTTTCCCAGAAATGATACCGATTATAATAATTGATGTCATTTGATACTCCCAATAGCAGGCAGGTTTATAGTTGTCATCATATAAGGGTAATAATGCTATCAAGTCGGACATGTTGTTTAGATTAGCATACCAGCCAATTAAATGTCAGTGAACTGGACACAATACAAACATCCAAAATTTAGCCCTTTTTCTGGACCTGGTCTACAGACTGTACAACCATTAATCTAGGTTTCCACTGTCACGATTCGCGCTACGATTGAAATCGTGGAGTCATTGTAATGATACTATCAGGCCTTATCATATATTGAGGTCAGTCGTAGCAATCGTGTTGATCGTATCGAAACGTATCCGAACGTATCTGCACGTATCAGATCGTGGACTCAATAGGGACAATCCCATCGAAACGCATCGCACGACAGTAGGAACCTAGCATTAAATGCTAAGTCATTTTCATTAAAATAATCTCACAGAATTTACTTTAAAGTTCCTTTATTGTCTCTACATAGTTACAGTGGTACTTCCATAATAAACATTATGAGAACCTACGGGGAGCTATGTTTGTTTTATACAATTCATGTCCATCAGCTCGAATAAAGGTTAAAGTAAGTTTGTCATGTGTAGCCTCGGCAAAACAAAAACCACCCTTGGAGCGGGTGTCAGCCCAGTGAAATTTAAGTGAGTCCTGTGGTACAGAGTGCATGTGGCGAGTACTAGAGTCTATAAAGTTGGCAGTTCCAGATACTATAAAATCCAATGTGACCCCGTGGTGCGTAGTTCGTAGGTGCTGAAGAAAAAAAAATGGATAATTAAATAAATAAAAAAAGGGATAATCGCTTTAAATGAAATGTATTTATGCATCAGCTGGGCTAGCGAAGATGATCATAAGCAATTGTGTGACAGGAAAGTTGACAGGAGGGGCGTTTTCGCCTACTCGTCGTCGAATTCCAAATGTCGAAGGTTCTTTCACGTGAAGACCGATGTATACAGAGTATCACGGTGTGTAGTCCAACTAGAACGCCTAGACGCTGTTTCATGTTAGGGGAAACCTAGCTGGATCGACCCATATAATGCATAACGTAAATATGCACCGGCATTGGAATCAATTCGAAAATGTTTGGTGATTTAAAAATCTGATACTACACCCCAATTTGCAATGCAAAACAATAACTATGTTGCTCTGTAAAGAGTTCTCACCGACGTGTGCAATTAAGATTTATTTTATTCACAATTTTTTTGATATTTATGTAGTTAAAATACCATAATATCCCCCCGGACACTTTTAAGGTATTAGATTGTGCTAGATATGGGAGGATTTGTTCTGATTTTCCGTAAAATGATTTTTATAGAAGATAAAATTGTTCGTTTGGATCCGAAATGCATATCAATAAGATGTACATATCTGCCGATAGAGCTAGGTGATGTCCCACGATCACATCTGTATAAAATACACCGGTCATAGTGGGATATAGGGCAGGGCAATATAGGCGTCACCAGATGTAAAAACAGTATTGTACATTTTAATTTCACCAGTCTTATTACATAATTCTAGACACTGTCCACCTTTAAAGTGGTTCGGATATTTTAAATGAAAATATGGCAATGCTGAGATAAATGGACAGAAAATAAATAATGTTAAGAAAGATAACTAACTTGCAAACTATGGTCGTGTCCAGCAAAATGACCATTAGCTTTATATCTTGATAACAAGGGAAGTAATCTATTAACAAGGCATCTTGTTGGACCGTGTTCGGCTATAGAATAAATTGGGAAATGTCCAGCAGTAAACAAATATCTAGCCCTTAAATATAATTTCATAGAAATTAAAAAATTCTAAAAGATAGTTTTCTAGGCAAGGCACCATACGCCCACCAGCAGCTTAGTCGGTGGAGCTTTAATACATTTTCCACTCCATGGGGTTTCCTCCCTTGTATAAGTTTAAGTGAGTCAGGTATCATAACACTCTAAATAATGATGGCATGATGTCACCCGGAAAAGTCATCCAGGATTACATAATTATTCCCAAAAGCCCATGTGTTATTGTCGCGCAAGAGGCAGGGTATTCTTACATTTGTCTAAACACGCGACAATACTTGGTCATGGATACGCCTGTTAATTTGTTACTTTGTATTTATGGACTTTGAATATGAATGCCCTTTAGACCATTGTACTAGATTGTATTTGAATTTAAACACGCTCAAATCGACCGGGTCACCATTTATATCCAGTACAAGAATCATTAACATACATTGATCAACAATCTATCAGTCAGGGACAATAACTGAGGCACTACTTTCGATTTGAGTAAGATACGAGTGTGGTAATATATCATTATCATTAATCTACAATTAAACCTGGGTCAACAAATATGGAACCGGAACAACTGGGATTTAACGTTACTCCAATAAGAACTATTCCACTAACTACCTTTGTAAAATGCACACAATCGACAGTCATTGTTCTAATAATTATGTCGAAACTGAACTCCTGACAATGATGTGAAAGTAGGTGTAGACTAAGGGACTGACATCACCGTATGTTTATTTAATAAAACCATATCTAAAACCCTGATTTAAACATATTACTTTACAATATACGGATCGGACAAAAGTTAATAAAATCTACAAAGAAAGGAGTCCTCTCCAATACAATGCAATAACTCTGTTTGTAAGCATTTCGCTTGCATTTTAAAAGCCAGAAGAGGCCAGTGACCACGAACTTTTAAAAAGAAATCGTGCTAGTCTAACTGTAACATAACAATATTGTGGATTTGCACATTCAGAATAGAAACAAGTATTATTTTTGTTTTGTATTTGATTTTTCTTTAAATGGTAAAGCAAACCAAATTGATTATAATGAGCGTGACAATATGCCTACTTGCTATCTGCTAGTTGTCTTTCTAACCATGCCCACTGAATTTCAGCAGTTGTTCCATCTTTTGGCACATCTGGTTGGTAACCGTGGAAATCATCGATAACATGACCACATAAAAGAGTAGTATCTATCATAAGGATATCAATGGTATCCGAGGTTTCGGGAATTTTAAATGTCAGTGGGTAGAAGAAGTAAGGAAACTTCCTTAAAAATAAAAGATGATTTTTTAAGATTTCAATTATGGGATCATTACAGGTCAATGACATTAAGCCAAATGGCTAGAAATATCCATGTAATCTACATGATCAGAAATATCCATTTCACAAATGGAATATATGTAGGCCTATTATTATCTTAGGCAATATTCTCATAGTCTAAATTAGTAAAACTAAGGAGATATACAAATTATTTTGATTTATTTAGATTGCTGCCTTGATTTGAGCAAGAACAGTGTGGTTTTAAATAAAATTATTGTGTTTTGTATTACATGGGTATTGAGTAAGATTAGATAAACAGCTGACAGTTCTCGCTATAATATTTAATACATAGACAATGAAAACAGAATATGCTGAAAGTTTCAGTCAAATGGCTTTACTCTGAACCGAAATATTACCGATTCAATATTAGACTAGCCTCGGTCTCCATTAATTCCGATAATACGATATTAAACAAACTCTCGACTATCCATTTTATGTTAAATTATCCATCACAAAACGTATTCAAATCCACAAAATACCACAGGCTAACGATGGCATCGAGAGTTAATTATATGACTAATTTATGCAACAGTTAATGCCTAAAGAAAGACCGGCAAATAGGCAGATTTATCTCTTGTATAGTGCATGTTTAACGAAAACACTCTAGTTTGACCTTGATGTTTAGCGTCTTTAAAAGGTTGTCAATGTTTGATATCAATATTCCTACCATCTATTTGACAGCTTAGTATAAGCTATTTGTGCCGAGACATTTCCTCTCCAGTCATGATTGCCAGCAATAACATACCATGGTATCAATAAGGATACGTCTCTATAAACTACTTCAAACGTTTCCTGTAAAATAACAAATTTGAAACAAGCGGGCAAATCACAGTAAAAGAATGTTAACACATCCAAATGTCAAATAAAAATACTTTGTTCATTATAGTTTAATTGGTTTGGTAGACAGTAAAGAAAATAAAAAAAATACATCTGCCGAGTCTACTATATATTTCATTTCTGTTGTACGTTTGCATTTAAATGAGTTTTTTTTATTAGGTAGCTTGCCACACCCGGTAAAATACATTCGTTATTGGCGTTATCAGCCGTGTCACAATGAACTTTTGATTTTCTTTTTCTATAGTGCTTACGTACACCTATCTCTATCAAGAAATTGGCATCTAAGGCATATATATTTGTAGAATAAATACAATGCTTTGATTAACAAAATATAAAGAACAGTGACCCTAGAAGTCATATTTACTATTCAGGCGATACGTTTCAAGTCAGTAGCTTGAAGCGTATATATGGTATTAGTGTCAGTGGCCTGTGGCACGAAGTAACAGTATATTGTCGCATACATAATATATTATGTCAACGCTTGGGCGATATAATATATTATGTCAACGCTTGGAACTAGGATGGAGGTGACTAGGCATGAACTTGCAACGATAGATTTAATTGGCGCTTTGATAACCAATGAATGCTTTGGAGACATATTTTGGCGGTATTTTCCATCATGGAATCGGTAAGTTTCGATTGTTTTTTTCTTTTCTGTTTTTTCTCTCTTTTCTGTGTCCTTACCCTAACCCTAACCCTAATCCGAAAGAAAAGTGCCCTTTTTTGAAATTCTGACATCACAGGTGCCCTTTTTCTGATAAGGATGCCCTCTTTTATTTACAGGGACACTTTCTATTGTTAAGGGGGTGGACCGGTCCCCATGGTCCAACCCCTGGATCCGCTCTGATGACGCGTACATTCCACTGAGTCTACAGGTCTAATATGCTAACACGCTTGGAGCGTCAACACAATATATTATGTCGCCCAAGCGTTGACATAATATATTATGTATGCGACAATATACTGTTACTTCGTGCCACAAGCCACTGACACTAATACCATATATACGCTTCAAGCTACTGACTTGAAACGTGCAGGGTGTACTATTAAGGTACGGGTGCCTGAATACGGTAATAAGCGTTGAATTTAATTTCAGATGAGTACCGATGAATGTTAATTATTACCTGAAATCTTGGGTCGTTGATATTCTTTACACCGTTATAGTAGAAATTATCTCCTAAAGCCAAGACAAAGCTGGGCTTCCTTGCTCTAGAGATCTTTGCCATTTGGTTAGCTGTGTCTAGCTCTACTGGGGTTGTGTATGGAGCGATGGACGTTCCTCCCCAATCACCCATTACAAGAAACTTCAAACTTTTGCCATTTGTTTTAGAAGTCTCCCAACTACCGTTTACTAAGGCTATAAACAAGATCACAGTGTATTTAGCAATATTGTACAATGATGAGAGTGAGGTAGACGAAGATTGCATATGGCAGTCAAAATGAAATGAAATGGGGTTTAACGTCCCGATGAACTTTCTTGGCCATCGTTGGGATCGAACACGGGACCTCCAGGTTAGCGAACCAACGTCGTCCTCACTGGCCTGCCTTCTCTCCCGCAGTCAAAAGGAATATGGGGATACATTTATTGAGATTTAATGTGAAAATATGAAATTGAAAGTACACTCACCTTGCAAGAGGAATATTGATAAAAGGACAATTTCGGCATAATGTCTTTCCATTTAGAATATATTTTTTCTCCTTTCTAATCACTTCTTCAGTCAATTTCAATTGGCGTGAAAAATAAATACTATTTATAAGCTTACACTTCATCTGACGGGTTTGTGTGTTTGTTTTTTGGAAATTGTCCTTAATTATCAATCTTAACCATCAGGTCAAAAGAGTAATGGCGCTTCAATAGCCCAATGATATGATAACGATAGATAAAATTAATGACAAAAACCCCCCAACTCTATTGACTTCCAATCAACCACCAAAGAAAAGGTGGGGGAGGGGGCTTATAGTTTGTTTTGTTTTTCTATTTTAAGTAAGACATTAAAAGGTTACTAAATACCTTTAGATTATTCATGCACGATTAGTTATATTTTACATACAGTCTCAAAATAAATTTATATTTGTACGGATACAAAAGAATTATCTGACAGCTAGTTCGAATATTATGCAAAACATTATTGAAATGTATACAACATTAAAGATGCATTATGTCAGATTTAAATAAAAAGCTGACCGTTCTTGCTATAACAGTTCAAAAATAGATTATCAAAAATGAACATATTGAATATGTCATTCAAATAACTTTATTCTGGGGAAATTATCACTATTTAAAGATGTAGCGTAGATAGTTTATCATCGTAGCAACGGTATTTAACAACCGAGACTAAGTCCCGATTATCCAGTTTATCGTTAAATATTAAATTCTCGCGGGTGTACAAATCCATTTGAATCTCGACCACCCGATGGTTTAGCGAGTTGATTATAGATTTATCAAGTGAATGAATGTCTAAAAAATAATTTAAATAAGATTTGAAGCCAGAAATAACCTGCAATAGGCAGATTTGGTTCTTACATAATGCATCTTTAACCTGCTCTGACTTCTATTTTATTAGATGATGAATCACCTTTTATATAGTTACAGGATCTTTAATCATCATTTTAAAGTTAAAGATTTACAGTTAAAAAACAAATAATCATGAATTTATTACTTTACAATCATAAATAATATCTATTTGCAAGCATTCTTAAACTATTAAATTTTGGGTAAAGTGTCCGTATTTCTGTTTAACGGGTAGTGTCACGTTGAACAAGAAAATAAATGTGATTATTGTATCTAATATCATGGTTATCATATTCAAATTAATCTTACAGCAAAGAATCCAAATGAGCTCTGCAAACCACTAATATACATAATCAAAATTGCATTTAGTAATTGCCATTCAAATAACTAATATACATGTACGTAATTAAGTGTAATGAATCTCAAATCATCTATATATCTCAGCGATGATGTGTCATAAGGTCTTAAATGTTTCAAACAATCTAATTTCTCCGCCAACGACAACTAACTTCACAATAATCAAGCCATTGAATGCATGTACATAGTTAATTACAACAACTGCTTTTTTAATAACTCAAAATACCTTTAATGTTATTCCAAATCCATTTCTTTATCACCAAGTAAAATGTATAAAACTGGAAATGGGTAGATTTTTTCTGACTTGATTTTGTATACTTTCAAAATGAATATGTCGACGTATTTCTGACAAATTCTAACTAAAATACGTTCAATACTTGATGTTTTCTTTGGCGTTATGTATAATTAAAATACATATGTATCAATGATAATTTCTCACCGGAACGATTTATTATTACTTTCATACTGGATTGTATTGATTTTTTTTTAAAATGAGTTTGTAAGTGAAGAAAGAATCTTAGGTCTAAATAAATACGCATGTATTAACCGTAACTGTTTTTCATTTCAAATTTTTGTACCATTTTCCCTTTACTATATCTTAAAGTATTCGAGGTAAATTAAACTATACCACCCTGGTCATTACAAACCCTTCACCGTTCAGTTAAGTGGGTGCTTATGGCATGACCTCGCGCCATTTACCTGAATGGCCTACAATATCCGTGCTTTGTCTCGTGGGTGTCTAGTTAGTGTGTTGTTAAATGCTTAGACATAATTGACAATGGATCTCTACCCGAACCCAATATGTAAATTAAAACCCAACCGCCATTTTTACGATCTACGGTATGTCACTCTCCAGACACTATCCCATTCCGAAACCTGTGCCCCGCAAATTTACTTTGGCTCTCTATGCACCTGGGCCCTTATTCACGAAAACTTAAACGAAGACACAATCGAAATTTTAAGAAATACTGCAATTCGCTTGGCTGATCAGTAAAATCAATTTGCATATATCCAATGAAGTTGCAGTATTTCTTAAAATTTCGGTTGTAACTTAGTTTAAGTTTTCGTGAATAAGGGCCCTGGATGCAGTCCTCTATAATCTGGTATTAGGAACTATTTCACCACCTATGTAATGGTTTCTAAATGTTAAGGAGACACCAATTGCATCTGGGATTGGTTATGTTTCAAGATGCTATTGAATTGTACGAAGTATACAACAATTATTCTGGAAAAGTTGACATAATTTATTCTCGTGAGCTTGAAAAATTATTCTATATTGTAATGATGAATAATGAATTTCTAGAGTGGTCTTAATCTAACATCGAACAAAAGGAACCCACAATCGCACATGAAAACGGAACAGTAATGCTCACATAAGCAAAGTTTAAGACAATTTTGTAGCTTGTTATAAGATCTTTTTTTCTTAGTTTTCTTTTTACAGATTTTCTATGGAAAATGAAGACAGACACTATAGTTTAAAAACCGCTCAAAACAACTAAATCCTTTTAAACTAAAGCGGTTATTCTTTATATCATTAATTTACCTATTGTAGGAACACATATCCCAAATAGATGCTATGCCTCTTACGATCTGCATGATATTAGCCCACTCGCTCCAGGCGTTTAAAAGAGGGCGTTCGTGTTTGAATGTTTGCATGTACATAGGCGAACGAAAAAAAAAGCCCACAAAAAACAGCAGAATCCCCTTCCTCTGGGATGAAATTAGAACCTTCACAATTGGGACTTACCTAATTATCAGATGAAATACGTGTATTGTAAATGGGAAATTGTGAAGTGTAAGTTCCTTTTTTTAATTCACCATTCTTAATAATAAGTACAGGAGGACCGCACTATACACAAACAAAACCAATAAGACAAACACAAGGACAAGACACACACTGCACATAATGCATGAAATAAATAACCTATATCAAATCAAGTGAACGGACCCGATCATCAGCATTTTCTGCGCTGTAAAGTCCCCTTAAAGGGACAATAACACTCTTGCTGGCTTGACAGCTCCAGAAATAAAAAAATAGCCTTATTCTAAGTACTAGATGTGTTAGTGTCCTACCTGTTGTTTAAATTATCCATTAAATCCTATTTTACTTGTCCAGAGGGTTCGAAAATATTTTTAAATCCAAGTCACATCTGAAAAGGTTTACGTTAGGCTTTTCAAATCATTTAGTTGAATTTTTCCAATTTTTTAAATTAGGTGTGTTAAGATGAAATTTGTATCATCAATTAATTGGAATAGTGTAAAATAGTACGATTTGTTGACCAGAATAAAGATTGGGACATATTATTGAGCCTTTAATGTAATGATACAAACTTCACTCACTTACAAGAAAGATACAATGTCAAGTTTTTAACAAATCACTGTTTACAATAGGCTCACTCTGAGTGTTTTTGACAAAAGAGTGCTATTTTCGGTTATGTTCGATGATTAGTAAGATCCCAATGATGTAAAATTATTAAAATTATATACCAACAATGATTGTTTCTTCAGATCTTTTTTTTTTCATAATTATTTTAGTTACTTAAAATTTATAGACGATGATTTGTCCGTCTGTCTGATTATACTGATGATTAGGGTTGAAGGCCTATACAAGGAAGCTTTTTAACACCACTGAATTGTTTCTTCCTAATATAGACTAGTATATATGTACAGTAATAATAACATATCACCACTATCAACATGGAGGTTTGCAGATTCATTTTTGTTAGTTGCATATTTATCTATACTACTAAAGGTAGGTTTTGTTTCATTTATTTTTCCATTCATATATATGTTATTTTTTAGGGGAGAATCCAGCCAGTTTCTGGCACGTGGAAGTGGACCATTATCAGAGTCAATATTTACTCAAAATATATTAGCAATAAAATGTGAGAGTCAGATAGTTAGGACATATTAAAATTTTATTTTAGTGAAATAAAACAACTATGCGACGGAGGGGTGGGGTGGGTGTGGGTGTGTGTCCAACCTCCAATCTAAATTAGCCCCGGTTTGTCACTCTAAATCACGTATTGTATTGTATTGTTTTGTATCATGTCTCATAGAAATGTATATTATGTGCTATTATGAGTACATTCTATGAAATTCTGGAGCAGACGGGTGACTTGATATATGACGACAAAAATAAAATATTTTAAAATTACATAACAATTAAACGATTAGTCAAATGATAGATTTATGTTAATATGATGGATTATTTTAGCACTAAGTGTATGTAAAGATACACGACGGACAACATATTGTTTGGGAAAAAAATCTAGATGCCCTGAACAATATTGGATCACAAATTGTATGAAGACATGTGGAATATGTACAGGTTGGTATCAAATATATAGTCGTCTTATATTGTTATTGAAATTATGAATATGGATTTACATACAGATGAGTCAAGTCAATTTGTTAGGAAAGTCACACAAAAAATACAAAAAGCCAGTCTGGAACCATACATGTACAGTACTGGCCGATAATTAAACCAAACTAGCCAGGTAAAGCTAAGAAATTACATAGAACAATTTGCAACATAATTGTATTCGCCAGTTTCTCATAGAAGAGTACCTGTAGGACTCCCAACCCAAATGTTCCTGCTGAAGATGCTGGGGCTTTTGGGTAATTAGCATAAATCCAAGATGGCCACCAGTGAACTCTTGTTTTCCCGTCTGTATCTCTTAAATGGTTCACTTTAGAGCATATAAATGTATGTTTGAGTAGATAGGAAAATGGTATCAAAGAATTGGAAAAATATATTTGCTTACGCTCTATATACATATTATATGTACCCGTCTAAATTCAATGAACGTTCACCTATTACTTTGCCAATCATTTATTTACGTTTATATTTTGGAATCATTTTCTTTTTTCAAGACGCGTAAGTCTTGAAAACATCAGCAAAGTCAACATGTTAACAGTATCTAAAATTAATTATAAATGTAGCCAACCGGTGATTATTTTGTAATACTTAGAGGCTTGAAGGAACTCAATATAAATTCGAATTATTCGATATCAGGCGCTTTGATAAACAGCAATTTATCCATCGTAAGATGCTAATGGAGGCTAATGAATTTATGTGTTAAAATTATTCGATCATGGAATAGTTCGACTTTGGCTTTGTTTGATTTAAGTTCGGCACTTCTAAACCATATAGTAAACATTTCTCTTACTATTTTCAGTCCGCGGAAGCAAAATAGAAAAATAAAGATTTGCCATGAATTTACTAAAAATAATCTAATTGTAATGTATTGATATGAAACACCGTTTGTCCTTCTCTCACAATTACATATGTAATTATATTACATCATCCACTGAGGATTATATTTATCTAGATAGAAAATATATTTTTAACTATTATGAATAAGCATCTTTTTATTTTACTATTTGACTAGATGATGGATGTAGCGATGGCTATTATGAAGATGATTCTGGAACTAGCTGTAAACCATGTAATACTAACTGTAAAGGTGGCTGTGACCAAAAATCTGGAAAATGTGTTAATTGTATAGCCAATCGACATGGTGATAAATGTCGCAAATATTGCATACGATCATGTCTAAATGGATGTAGTCAAGATACAGGGCGATGTAATGGATGTCGCACTAACAAATACGGTAAGATATGTCACAAACATTGCAGACCATCATGTCTAAATGGATGTAGTCAAGATACAGGGCGATGTAATGGATGTCGCACTAACAAATACGGTAAGATATGTCACAAACATTGCAGACCATCATGTCTAAATGGATGTAGTCAAGATACAGGGCGATGTAATGGATGTCGCACTAACAAATACGGTAAGATATGTGGAATTGATTGCCCAATTGAATGTCTAAATGGATGTAATCAAGATACAGGTATCTGTATTGGTGGTTGTAACAATAGGAGATATGGAGACTTCTGTAATGCTACATGTCCTACTGATTGTAAAACTGAATGTGATGAAACAGGTATATGTAGAGATTCCCATAAATGCCCAGAAATGTGTACAGGAGGGTGTGATGAAAATAGTAATTGTAGAGATGATATTGATTGTAGAATTGATAATAGTTGTCCCACATCAGCCTGCTCTCGTAATTGTAAACAATGTGACCAGTCAACTGGTAACTGTAGAGAATGTAACATAGGTTACTACGGCATTTTATGTAATCAGACTTGTACTGGTAATTGTTACATTAAAGGGTGTAATAGAGATGGGACTTGTTCTAGTTGTAAAACAGGGTACCATGGTTTAATCTGTAACCTAGCTTGTACCGGTAATTGTTACTTTAAAGAGTGTAATAGAGATGGGACTTGTTCTGGTTGTAAAGCAGGGTATCATGGTCCAAGCTGTAACCTAGCTTGTACTGGTTATTGTTACGTTAAAGGGTGTAATAGAGATGGGACTTGTTCTAGTTGTAAAGCAGGGTATCATGGTCCAAGCTGTAACCTAACTTGTCCCGATAACTGTCTTGATGGATGTATCAAATCTGATGGTAAATGTAAACGTTGTAAAGAAAACTTTGTTGGTGATTTCTGTAATGGAACATGTAATGATGCTTGTAAAATCGTAGAAAATCAACGAATTTGTTATAAAAACGGTATATGTTTACATGGTTGCAATGAAGGTTGGTATGGTAAAGCTTGTAATGTTAGTTGTAGTGTTTCATGTGAAGGTGGGTGTGATCAAACCAATGGTAAATGTAATAAATGCAAAAGTGGTTACCATGGTGAAACATGTGAGAAGTGTAGTTCTCAATGTGATAGTGGATGTGATCAAAACGATGGTAGATGTAATAAATGTGAAAGCGGTTATCATGGTAAGACATGTGATAAGAACTGTAGTTCTAAGTGTGTTGGTGGATGTATTCAGGAATCTGGTAAATGTATAAAATGTATCGACGGATATAACGGTAACACTTGTCAGAAAAGATGTAGTAATAAGTGTAAATCATGTGAACAGTACAGTGGTAAATGTACAGAATGTACAGAAGGATATTGGGGTTTACAGTGTGACAACACTTGTAGTTCAACATGTAAACCTAGAATTAGTTCAACTATATCTGTATGTCATCTGTATAATGGAACATGTACTGAAGGATGTCAACCTGGCCTCACAGGACATAATTGTACTACAGGTTAGTAATTATTATATCGTTTCCTACCGGTTTCTTACAAATGTACAATATTATGGTGTCCAGAATGATATTTGTAGTTGTCGATGATACTTCTACAATGATACTTCATATTTATGCTTATGTTCAATTCGTGCGATCTTAAAAGGTGTTATAGAGAAAACATCCCGATTTATATTTGTGTTTCAGTAGTTGTCAAGAAAAGGAGATTTTATACAACGAAACCTGGCTATTTGACCCAATTAAAATAAAACAAACTTATATTTTACGCCAGACAACCTCTGACGTTCTTCGATAAAAAAAATCCTTTTGTCATTTAGTAGGTTGATATTATATATCTGAAAATGAGATACTTTCTCGTTCAGTGGTATTTACAGATGCTGATTCACCTCAGTGTTGCAACTGTTTTTAACATTTTTTCAGCTTGGAAAGAGTCAGATTCTGGAGGTACAATAATGGTTAACACCACAATAATTGCGGTTATAATTATTATAATAATTATTTTATTAGTTATTGGCATGATTTTATATAAAAGGTAATAATTTATGTATTTTTAGATATTAAAATTAGTCTAGCATATATAGTTGCTATATTTGTTGGTTTTATTTTTATAGAAGGTAATATATTATACATGGTTTAGAAATATATCTATCTACATGTTTAGTTGATTAAACACATATTATAATAACTATATTAGTTCTTGGCATGATTTTATATATAAGGTAATAATTTATATTTTTAATTAGTCTGATATAATATAGTTGTTATACATGTATTTGGTTTTATTTTTTTTAATAGAGGGTAATATATTATACATAATTTAGAAATATATATATCTACATGTTTAGTTGGTTAACCAAATATTAAAGCGATTCTAGAAAATGTCATACATATTTAACGAAAATAAATTGGTTTCAGGAGACGAAGTAAGAGAAAGAAGGAAAATAACGAATTTGTCATAACACCTGTTGAAAATGATACTTATTTAGTAGCTAGTAAGTCAATTCTAATATATTTACATGTAAATACAATGTATAAAAATATTTGTATTCGCAGATCTATAGTAATGAAAGAATTTTAAAAATGAAGGTTTCTCATTAATCAAAATTCTTTTTGACCCCATTCCTTTTCCTTATAGAAAAAAGGAAGCCACAGTATTTTGGGTTAATGTTCATTTTATTTTTATAGTTGATCCTGCTGTTGTCAATGACGCAACGGGTATTTATGAGAATTTGAGAGAAGAATCTGTGTATCAGAATGCTGGAGACGTGTCCAGGTCACCAACTAGAATTGATCTTAAAGACTTGTGGGATTATAATCAGGGCATGAAGGGAAAGAAATTTGATTTGGAATATCAGGTAAAGTAAATGACCGAGCGGAATCTCCCACCAGTATTCCAGCACCCGGATTCGAAATGAAGTTAGCACAAATATTCCTAGCGCCAATAAAACCCTATATAATTATCACGAAAATAATTTTTACCTTTATATTAGAAAATAACATTTAAAGACATATTAATGCGATGCACTCAATGGTATGCAAGTTGTAGAGATGAAACCCAGGAGCTGATTCCACCGAACTAGACGTTGGCCGATGGCGCATAAAGTTTCCGCCCACCCCTGCTAAATTAGAGCGGTTCAGATGCACTCCGAGATCGAGAAAGAGAACGAGGTGATTCCCTTTTTGCATGCAACTCGGCGGCAGACGAACTCGCTCGTGAAAACGTCTTGGACCCCCTGAAGACGTAAGTGAATTCCGTGGTGGTTTGATTCTTTTTTAGACAATCTTTTTCATAATTATACCGAAACACACCCCTTTCAAATATACCAGCCTTTGTTAGCCACTGTTTGATAGAAATGAAAGAACGAATCGACACTTTCAACAGTGCACTTTTTGCTCTATTCAATTTGGCAGCGTGAAATCAATCGAAACCAATCTGGACTTACTGACATTTGCTGACATTTTGGAAGAATTTTTTTCTCTTTCTTAAAAGTCAAATTAATTGCAGGATTTGCCCAAAGGATTGTGTTCACCTCATGAGTTATGTCTCAATGAGTTTAATAAAGGTAAAAACAGATACAAAGACATATGTGCATGTAAGTATATACAGTATCTATTTTGGAAACAAGCCAATTACGGTAATATTTGTCTGGTTTGGATCACCTGAAATATATAATATATTTAAAACTCTCCCACAACAGATAAAAGTTTTACGTTACCAAAAGGAGTTTGTAATTAGTGACCTGAACCTCTCAATTTGGGCATATTGATAGCGATTTTGCCGTTAGTGACAATTGCAAGCAATTGTATTAATAACAGTGCATCTAGTGGCATTTGAATCTATTAATATACGTAATAATTGTCATAGTGGGCTAAAAGTAAGTAGTGACTGTGAGTGTAACAGAAAACAGATAAAGTCACTTGAAATCATTTGGCAGATGAATTTCTAATTGATAGAGGTTTAGACGTGACCGAAACACCTCAGAAGCGGTTATTTATGCTATTAAAACATTCATTGACTGTAATATTCGCAGAATTTAGTCTGTTAGAGGACAACTTTTGTATAATAAACATTTAATGAACAACTAAAATAAAACATACCCAGTTTAAAGTTAAAGTGAACTGGGACTAGCTTATTTTGCATATCAATATTAGCAAACTTTTGTTTTGATTACTTTCTTAAATTTTTAAGTTGACCATACACGAGTTAAGATAGATATTGAGAATGGAGATCCCAACTCAGATTACTACAATGCTTGTTATATAACTGTAAGTTTATTGTTATTTGGAATTACAGCATGATAAAAAAAAGCTCTAAATACATAATAAGTGAGGAGGGGTAGGGGTGGTGGTCTAAAAGGTGCGCTTTAGATAATAAGTTCTGGTCATTGATTTGAATGGCGTGGTTTCGATCCAAAGCGAGTATGTGAAATTGACACGCTGTAGGGTCGTCTGCTCAACCTCCCAGTACTAAAGATCCCTACGCACAAGTGAATTATTAAGGTTGTACCCTGCGTTAGTCTCGAAGTGATCTAGTTTGTGTAGAGTGGAAGATAAACCCCATTGCTATCTCTCTGTAGAGTAAATAAATATAGAATGGTTCTTTAATGGCGTAGGAGAGGGATACTCACAGGGAATCATTATATGCAGCATGTGTGATACATTAGATGATTCCATTACTCAAATATATACCGTTTAAAATTGCCTGTTTGATTTTAACAAATCAATATCGTTTAAATCTCTTGTTTATATTATGTATGTTACACTGTATGAAATGACTGAAATTTTGAACTATTTCGTTTATGGTTAGGGATATGGCGGAACAAAAAGGAAGTATATAGCTTCACAAGGTGGGCAATTCACTTAGCATCTTTGGCAAAATATTTATACTTTAACTTATATTTCATGGAATTCCTTTGATGTAAATTTAGAGATGGTCCCCATATTATCTAGTTATATATATATTTTGGTATGAAATGGATTTTAAAAGTTTTTAACTTATGTTTTAAACGAAATTGAATTTTAAAAAAAAAGAAAAAAAAAAGAAAAAAAGCAACTTTTGTAATATCACCTTAACTTTATATTTTTTGATATTCACTTATTTTTGGGCTATTTCAGGCCCCATAGCAAAAAACATCGATGATTTCTGGAGAATGTTATGGTTTGTAGAAGCGAAGAAGATTGTTATGCTGACTAATTTAGTGGAAATGACTGTGGTTTGTAATTGAGATTATATTTAAACTTTGTATACCAGTATATGATTAATTGCACAATTCATTCAACCCGGATTTGAAATTTTAGTTATGCGGATAAAAAAAACCATCGTATATTAAACAAGTACGACCGTACTAGTCAGGAATTAACTACGCCGTCATCGCAGCCATCTTGGAATTGTGAGGTCATATTAAATACCGAAGCCCTTGAATCCATGCGCAATTGTCCAAGGAACACAGTTTCATATCGACCGTACTTCAATTGAGGGTTGGAGGTGTGGGGGTTTATAAGGCTTTATTTGAAGAGCGTCATCCCCAAGAACAACACGAACAACAAGATGAATAGCGATTGGGACCCACTTGTGGAAGTAAACGATTACCAAGTTACCATTTCTATCTTACACCAATATCAATACAGTAGTTATAGACTTGCTTTCTTTTAATTTATTTTTTTTACTAAAAGAATTGATGGTAAATTAAACATTCGTGCAAGATTAATTATTTTGATTTTTCCACATACAGTGAGCAATAGCTACAGGACACGAGTACTTATATTTTATACATTATGCTCAGGTTGTATATACTTTGTTGTTTTTATTTAATATGTTTATTAATTAAAGTGTCAATTTTATATGTATATATTGTATTGTTTATTTTGACATTCTAGGCCAAATGTCTTCAGTATTGGCCAGATCTGGACCAAACGGTGAAATATGGAAATATATCGATCACTATGATAAGCGAGGAAGTGTTTGCCCATTATGTAATTAGGACACTTAAAGTTGCCAAGGTCAGATCACTTTATTTATATGGAAAACTAATTATTTATCTTGTTACATTTTCCCTAGCCTTTTCATGGCTATTCAGATTGAAACTGATTATTCAAAATCTGTTTCTCTTACGCCCCCGCCTCCACATATGCCTCTCCCGCCGAGGAAGTCGCAACTTACTGCGATGACGATAGATTGTATTTATTAGTTTGTAAATGTTGATTTATTTCTTAAATGTTATAACAGGAAATGTTTAAGGACGATATAATGTAATCTTAAATCTTGTTAAGATCGGGGGCCTGTTTCACGAAATTTTAACTAAGTTAAAATCCAAATTTTAGTAATTTGATCGGATAATATTAGATTGATTTTAGTGCTTAGCCAATCAAAATTGAAGTATATACTAAAATTTGGATTTTATCTTTAGTTAAAATTTCGTGAAACAGGGCCCTGGACATAATCAAAGCATTATGTGTGACCTGAATGCTCATGGGCTATCCGTCACTTTATAGGACAACTGTGAAACCCAGACTCTTCACCAATATCACTATACATCATGGCCAGACAAAGGTGTTCCTACAGATATGACGTCATTGTTGGAATTCCACCTTAAGGTCCAGGGAATGAAGGCTGACCTTAACGGCCCACTAACTGTGCATTGCAGGTTGTATGCTTTATTGATCAGATAAAATTTATTTTTTTCAAATATTAAAAAATATATATTCAACGTTATTAAAAATTACCTGAGCAGCAAACAGATTTTATACTACTCTTCTCATTTCTGTTTTAGTCGGTATGGTAAACAACTGTCCTGGTATACATCACGGTTAGATAATGTGACTGTTGTGTTACGACAAGAGTATATCCCGAGGGCAATACAAAATCTGTTTTAGAATGCATTGCGTATTAGTATATAAGTGTATAGTATTATTTTTATAGTGCTGGTATTGGACGGACAGGGACGTTTATCGCTTTAGATTATCTCATGGATGAAGGACTAGCAGAAAAATCAGTGGATGTCAATCAATGTGTGGCAAGAATGAGATACGAAAGAGTTAACATGGTACAGGCAAAGGTAATTCATTAACATTGCATGTGTCTTGGAAGCGGATAAGTGGGTATGTACTTAGAAAAACAGATAGTTCACCTAAAAATATAACCAGATGGTACAAGCTATAGGTTGTTACACATTTACCTAAACAGTTATGTTGATCTTGATAGCAGTAATGATATCCCCTAGTTTTGGATTGGCATGCTTGTATCGTGGACGATTGACGTACTTCGATTTTTGATATGATGGAACCATTCCAAGATGGCGACAATGATGCCATGCTCGATTCCTGGTGCATCTGGTACTATCGTACTTGTCTCTCTCATAAATCTATCACTTTGATAACCAAATTATATGTAATTGGAATTAAATTTATGTTGAAGGAACAATACGAATTTCTACATGATATTATTGCTGAATGGTATTTTACTAAAGATACAATCACAACTACAGAAACGTTTAAAGATAGTTACAAGAACATGCTCAAAGTAGAGAAATCTGGCAGGAAAAATGGACTGAGGGAAATATTTGATGTAGGTATTAACCACCTTCATTTTGTTAGAAATATTTTTTTTTGTTTAGATTTAAATTAACACACAGTACCCGATAATATACATCGTTATAAATATACATGGGTCTTTTAGCTTCAGAAATAAAACTTTAAAAAAACATTCCTATAAATGTGGAAATTCTTATTTATGCTTTATTTGCGTTTGCATTGGAGTTGTTTTATCAATTTGTTTGTTTGTTTGTGGTTACCTGAATTCCCATTGACTACCTTGTTTTTAGATGATGTCAAAAATGTGCATAAAACCAAACATGGAACAATTTTCTGAAGCTATGTCGGAGTCAGATATAGGTAAGAATAGAGATACATCGATCGTTGCTTGTAGGTATTATCACAGGTTACGATTTGATAATCTATTATTTATCCAATGTTAAGGTTAATCGAGAGGCTCCTTCAAAATCCTTCAGATTATGTTGTTCTCCTTTGAAAATAGTGCACTCTAAAGCATTTCAAGATTCATAAAAATGTTTATCATCATAAAGGACATATTTGGTAATTTCAGAATAAAATGCAAATTTGTGTGCTCAAATGCCAACTTTGCTTTCAATTGTCAAATTCAATATTTTAAAAACCAAAACCAAGATTCAGAAATAATTAGCCATTGATTGACCAGTTGTCTTTCTAACAATGTCAGTTATGCCATTATATAATGCTAAACATTTTCTTGAATTGGTTTGAATATTAGGAGATGAAAAACAGAATTAAAACATAGTTTAACACTCTACTTTTCTGACCAACTGGGCTAATGAAGACGGGCCTTCTATAGAGAACGTAATATCCAAATTCCAATCAGTTTTTTCTCCCAAGTGTTCAGCTCCATTGCACCAAACTGACATGCAAGCGCTGTTGCATTAGTTATATCTCCGAATGTAGAGTAAAGAGTATCTTAAATTAATATTTAAAAATGTTGAGGAATAACATCAGAATGGATATTTATAGAATGAATAAAAAACATGAAGGTGAGATCCAATTTTGTCATGTATTAAATATAATGTAACACTTGCATAATGTTATAATTTAGGTAATACCACACGAGTTTGTACGCCTGTTCCCGGTTCAACTGATTACATCGCCGCTGTTTATATGCCCGTAAGTAAAAAGCACATCATTCTGAATGACATGAAATTAAAATGAAATGAAAATGTTCGAACATTTAGATGAAAAGTAATATATTGGTAAATGAATATAGAGAAAATTACCTTGATTAATCCAGCGACAATACGGCTTTTTCTAGAACAGCATAACCGGGTATCTTTTCATTAAACACATTTTTCTGAAATATATTCAAGTAAAAATATATGTCCAAAACTATTCGATAAAAAGCTCCACCTTGCGTCAGTCCCACAAAGGTCAGAAGTTTCAGGTAAACAAATTTAAGAAGCGCAAGCTAAGTTTTAATTTTTAAATTATGAAAATTGTCCATGGGCTTTCACAGACTAAACAAGATGACTATTCATCACCATCACGACACCTTGCACTTAATGGGAAGGTATAACAACTTCTTGGAATATGAATGGGACTAGTCAGAAGATTCACACTCTGATCACAGTAGCTCGGCAAGGCACGGTCGCCACTCCCTGTAAGGTTTGCGCAACAACCTTTGCCTATTTCAATCCTGCATGTTAAACGATAAACTTATACATCAAAAAATTAAATACTATGAGATTGATGTTTGTACAAAGTTTCAAAAAGATTTCTTGAACGGATAATGAAATATGCCCCGGAAACAAAATCGAGACAGAAGGACGGTCATCAGAAAATAATTATGTATAATTATGGCGTCTAAATACTATTCTTACTGAATTTGAAAGAAATCCATTCAGAACTTGGATATGGTCCAATGTGCTAAAAAGTAATATTAATATAGTGATAAATAATTCTGCTCGCTTTAAAAGGTCTTGATGACATAATAATCTCGAGTGTTTTGCTATAATGTTGGACATTGTATTATGAAATTGTTTGTAGATATATAATTATAAACCACACACTTAAAATCATTCCGGTTTCAGTATTGGTGAATAATGCCCTGAACAGAAACAGGAACTGACACTCAAATATTTGTTCATAATGTTCCATAATTAGATTTTCCTTTCCTTTGGCAAAGTTGCAATACGATTGTCTTACAGGGTAGGAATTATATTCCATGTGTAATAATTTCTAAAATATTAAGTACATACGAAACGATATAGGCAACCTTTGTTGAGTTTATTGAAAAATTGTAAAACGTTATTTTAATGCAGCAAAAAGACGCATACGTGTTTGTAAAATGTTAATCATTCCTTGGAATTCAAATTTGACTTTATGATTTCCTATATAGAGCATTGGCAATTCCATTGCATTGAGTGAACAAGAAAATATACACTATTAGTTTGTCAAAGATCTCACGTGGTTTCTTTTGTCCGATTAGTTTTTTATGATTCAACCTTAGTCATAATCAGTTATTGAGTAGGCTACTAAACAGAAAGTTTCTCGGGTTATGCCCGAGTGGTTTCCCTTTGTCAGTGATGCACGGTGGAGTATTAGCAAGGAACATCGTGGAGTCGGTCGGGTAAGACGAATAACGGCGGTCCCGTGCGCAAACGTTGACGTGCATGTGAAGGCCCGGCCCTCCGTTTGAAAACGCCATGCATCCGTTGTGTACTCATTGCATACGTGTTTCATACGCTCTATCCATCGAGCATCCGTTCACTTTGATTTCATCCGCGCAAAAAGTTTTGAGCTGCACAAAACTTTTATAACGGATGAACTTTCTGCCGTGTACGATGTAAATGCGCGACATATACGAGCACCAAACGTTCCATGTCCGTTATCATCCGTTAAACGTCCACTGTATCCTCTCTGCATCTTCTGGGCATCCTCGCAACTCACATCCGCTCCAGCTGAAAACGGAAAGAGGGAGGAAAGATAAGGTACATGGAACGCCTATACATCGTTAGTAGCACGGAAATAGAAATGATGTAAGCGTATGCATCTCGTATATAAAGTTTTCAAAACGGACAAAGCGTTTGTATCTGGGATGTATCTGGTATATTGAAGGATGTCTGGAGTTTGCCGAACCCCTTCGGAGCTGTCATCCACTTCCATCCGCTAGGGTTCCGATGAACATCCATTTAACATCCCCGCTACATACTTCCCACGTTCGTTCTTTTCCGTTCTGTTTTCGCAAATTTTCGTCAATTTTGTCCATTTCTGGAGCGGATGAAAACGGATGGAGCCACCCCCGAAAGTTTGCTCGTCCGCTGTGTCCTTTTCGCATACGTGTTGTGTCCATAGGCCACTGGGACCGGGCCTTAAAAGAATCTGTGAGATGAGGCCGGTGTGACAGTGTGAGATGGTACTTGGTGTGTGATTACGGTTTAGCGCATGCGCAGTTGTGGGAGTCAGCTCACACCGTTTGGGACACGGTGTGCATTGACTTCCCGTGATAGAATTTCCCCTAAGATTCTATCGGTTTTTACATTATCTACCAATATTTACAGTATTATCAGGAGACGTTGTCGAGTTTCTATTGTTTGTTTATTTCGATAAAGCGACAATGCTTAGGACTTACGGCTTATTTAAAACGAAAATCTATAAACCTGCTGAATATCTCTGTTATGTACATATTACGAACTTTGAAACAGTCATGACCGCACTCCGACTTAGTTCACACTCACTTCAAATTGAAATGGGCAGATACAAAAATACCCCCCCCCCCCCCGATCTAAGAATATGCCAACAATGCACTATGCACAAAACTGAAAATGAAGCACATTTTTTACTAGAATGTCCATTGTATAAAAAATTTAAGTACTGTTCACATATACCCAACATTTACAGATAATTATCTACTCTATTCTCTAGAAAATCTATTCAACCCACCCAAAACAGTTGCAAAACCAGTTAGTGCGTTTGTATTTCATGCAATGAATCTAAGAAGATAAATTGTGTAGAGCTACACGTATTACTACCTTTCTGCATCAAAATTATTATCTAGATTTCCATGTATTAATATATTTCATTCCATGTTTTATTACTCGATCCATGTAATGGTTCTAGCATTCCTATATCATATTTCCATGTCAACACCTATACTAATAGGTCTTTTCGTTCGTTCGTTTCTAGAGTTTTACGTCTACTTCCACCTAAGGTGATATCGTAGACAAGTAATATTTCTTTCCTTTATTTATGTATTTATACTATTTATACCCATTCATCACAATTGTGTTGAATTTTGTGCCATTATCAGACCAATTTGAGGTAAATGTGTATTCTGAGATGATTGTAATACTGTTTATCTTATCTTATAAAGGCCAATATTCAATCTGCAAAATAGTTAATTATCAAAACATAGTTAAAAAATCAAAAAGTGTAACGACTAATCACTAAAAAAATAAACAACGGCAACAAATTACGAACGATAGAAGTATTAATTGCAAGCCAATCATCTTAGATCCGTTGATCGTGTGACTTACTGATCACTAAAACAACAGCTAATCACGATAGCAAGTATGTTTGTTAATGACAAAACTCTAACCAAATACGTAATACTTTTTCCTGAACTGATCACTGATCAGAAACTATCTCACACCACCGGAAGTATATATAGCTTCGTTGTTAACGCTAACAACAGTTTCGGACATGCGAAAGTGCCCAGGAGCAAAAAATCCCTCATAGCATAAGGGATGGTTAGCAAGTTGGTGTAGTAAAGTAGAACGTTAAACTCCATTTCATTTTTATTTCAGAGTTATATGACGAAACGAGCATATATTGTAACCCAGACACCCACAACCAATATAGTAGATGACTTCTGGGGAATGATTGTTGAAACAAATTGTCAGATAATTGTTAGTTTAGATAAGGATCAAGGGAGAAATTCCAAGGTAACCGTATAATATACACCTATTGCCATCAAGCAGTCATTTTGATATACCAAGAAAGATAGTGTCTCAGTAAATATTTATAATAAAGCTATTAAATTTTCCTAGTTAAACAGAACATATCTTTAAATCAAAAATGGAAAATGTCGAATTAATTAAAAATATATTTTTTTTAAATATGCGCACAATGTTGAGGTATAATCCGTGTTGGACTGTCAAATTAGTAAACCGGACAAATAAGTCAAATTAAACGGCATTGTTTCTCATCCGTTATCAAAATATACCAACAGATCAGCCATTCAACACTTTATTTTCTTCCTACAAATATTTCTTGTGCAAAAGTAATTTTCAAAACTCATATCATTATTGTAATATTTTAGAATCTTGACCAGTATTTTTCTCCAAAAGCGGGACAATATTCAATTCACAAAGAATCAGAAGAGAACCATTCTCAAGGATTTTACTCTAAAATAACTTGTCAAGTTAAAAGTGATGTTAACGTAAGTAAAATATTTTATGGGCCTTATAGTTGATATGTTACACATGCATCATTGTCAATGAAAATACCGATTGTCTGGCCTTTTATTAGTCTTCTCTGGCCAAATAAGCATTTAATGCAGATATGGCGGGTATTGTCTAATCCACAAAATATATTAATCGTGTGAATAAATGTCTAAATAATAATTTATATAACACGTCCGACAAAGGATATGCTTATCCTATTTAATAATACATAGCTCTTATTGTCCGAATGGACCATGCAAATAATTGTTGTATTATTACTCATGAAAAGAAATCAGAACAAAAGTCTCCTTGTCCGAAAATAATTCGTCATATTTGACCTCTATTGTTGAGTTATTACACATGAAACTTTGTCGTGATCTGCCTGCATCCGTTATGTGATTTAAGTTACATCCCTATTCACGATTACTTCCACCGATACTAATGTACATCACGCAAATCTAATGTGATGTGGTTTGTATCAGTATACCCATATTATACAAGGCTGGATCTATTTCTTAAGGCCACCTCCAGATTTCTTCAAGGTCGCTGAGATGTAAATAATGTTAGGGCACGTGATTGTTGACGAGATTGTGTGTTAGGGTTAGGGCTAGGTCACTGAGTAGGGTTAGGGTTAGCGCTAGACCTGTTTACATCTCGTGACCTTTGGCAATCTAGAGATATCCTTAAGAAATAGATCTATGGTATAGAAATCTCTGAGATAAAGTATACTGTGCTATTAAAGGACAATATTGGTGCCAGTCATTATCACATATGTGATAGAGCTGGTTAAACACATTCTAAATATGATTTTAACACAGAGATCATTGCTACGATAGCTGAGTAATACAGGTTTCCTGAATCGGAAGTGACGAACGCCAAAGGAAAACACGAGTCATCCCTCTATATAACTGACTGAAGTGACGAGTGATAACAGATACATGGGCGAATTTCTGCTCACTACTAATTCCTTCCAAGACCAAAAGTTGTTGTGTTTAATTAGTTCTATCACATATGTGATAATGACTGACACCAATATTGTCCTTTTATATGATGATTAAATACACGTCTTTAGTATTTTAGATAATGTTATTCGTCTTGTTTTATAACAGACTAAAAATCGACACAAAAATAGACTTCACAAAGCTGAACTCAGTCTAATTCTAAATATCTAAAGCCAAGAGGAAAAACTAAATTACAATCGAGAGCCACACAGAAACAAGTGTTGCATAAAGAGTAAAAATACCCTGTACCATGCACAACCCCCCTCTCTCACCCTCTATAACATCTATGAGGCGTCTGGTCAGACTGTTTATGTAAGCAAAAGTACTCCAACCAAATTAAGAATGCATTGTAAATATTATTGAAGTAATATACATAAATTACAACGTAACTAAATTATTATAACGGGTACTGATTCTAGCTTTAATAAGATTGGAGATTTTTAAAGTGCATTCATTTAATATAAAATCGTATTCTTTTATCTTTAGTTGGATCTGAAACGCAAAATACGTATATTCAGTTGTAGTTTTTGGCCTTCAAAGTTAAAGGTTCCTAAATCATCCACACCAATGATATGTCTTTTGGAAGATATTGCCACGTTAAGACGAGCATCAACTAATGGGCCAATCGTTGTTCACTGTTGGTAAGTAACATTATCTATTTTGTTATTTGAATATAAAAACACGGTTAGTCTCACTAGCCGTATTGCAGGAATATTTGACGACTTCAAATATAAAATGCAGACACATATTGAAAGTTTTGTCCAGACTCCACTTGAATCGAACGTAATATTTACATTAAACATTATTCATCATTTCTAATCAAAGATTGTCAAAGCGCACGTGTGGAAAAGCCCTTCTGAACGCGAGACTGGTCGACATGGACTTAAAAATGTTTTTCAGAGCTATGATGATATGCATCTCATATTTCGTCTTTTGACATCAACAGATCAAAACAGTCGAGAAGAATATATGTATTATGTATAAGACATTTAGACAAAGCTTAGTAATTTTCTCCACATTTCTTGATAGATAACATTTGTTAAACACTCAGATGATTTTAAAGAGTTGAACATGTCGCAGTCATCTGAATTCGATGTTTTGCTAAAGGAATCTGTACGCTAGTGGAGTCGTTCTCGCACGCCACAAACATGATTATTCACAAAAAAGGAGAAACGAAATGTAAATTCAAACACCCTGCTCCGATGCTAGACCAAACATTTAACAAAATACTACACAAAAGGATGAGGAGGCGCGAATTGGAATAAATAGGCATATGGTGAAAAGTCTTAGTCCATTTGCCAGTAGGCTATTGGGGGCTGGAACGTTGGCTGATGAGCTAAAAATGTGTGGTTTGTTTTCGGTGGTCTTCATAATGATAGTCCTATTGCAAATCTACTTTACACTAGAGTAATATATTCAAATACATTTAAGTTTTTCTAGTATCAAGATCGACAGTGATTGTTATAGTATTGTTTTATAGCGATGGTAATGAAAAGAGTGGTGTGTTTTGTACATTGGCGGCTGTAATAGAGAGAATAGTACAGGAACGATCCGTTAGAATTATCCCAACCATAAATCAGCTCAGAATATCTCGACATGAAATTATCACAAGTTATGTGAGTACATTTATTTTTTAAATTTTCAATTTATTGCGAAAACTTTGCTGTTGATTAAAAAGTAATTATTCTCACTTGCAGTCCCGCTTAAATTCCATCACTTACACTATATGATAATTATTAATTTCTAATTTCAGGAGCAGTTGAAATTTTGTTTTGATACGATTGCAGGATATTTGAGTATTTTTTCGGAATATGACATTGCTTGTTATTAAATTATTTTTAAAATAAGTTTCTTATATTGTTATATTTTTTTATCTTCATTTGTCAATTTTATTTGTACTTTCTTGTGCTTTTATTTTACAAGTTTAAACAGTTCAAAATATCGGTCACTACGCCGGCTAAGTTGTGTTATTTGAATCGTCAAAGAATATAAATCGATTGTGAACCTGCATCAATATTATCTAGATACACAAATTTAATAATTGCATTACAAAGAAAAAAAGATATGCGCTGTTTATATTTGAAAGTAGTAAAATATTGTTCGGGTAAGCAGTTTTATAATGAAATCAGGAATTGAAGTTAATAATAATGGCCAGCTTGGGGAATCATCTGTTTATTTATTAAGATTTTTGTTTTCATATTTTAATTTATTCGTTATTAATACTATTTTATAAATATATTTTTAAACATTGCATAAAATGTCAGTGGTGCAGGACGGAGGGCCAAATAAAGACAGCTGTCTAGTCGTTCGGATGGGACGAAAAACCGAGGTCCCGTGTACACATTGGCGTACACGTAGACGATCCCTTCGCAGTTGGAATTTGATAAAGGAGTAGGCCTTAGCACACTGTATGGCGTATGCTCGTCTTCATTAGCCCAGTCGGAGCATAACAGTAGGACGTTAAGCCTCATTTAGTTTCACAAATGCGGTTTTTCTTTTTGGTTTATTTATTGATGATTGCCTTTAAACAATATTACAACGTTACAATATTACAATATTACAATATTACAACGTTATATTGTGTATATTATCTATTGCTTTATTATAAAATTTTGTTATCAAGTGTATTTAGAAATAATAAAAGTATATATATTAAATAGTGTATATTGTGATGGAAAGATGACAGTACCATTTATAATCAACACACATTTTACTGTCTCGCTAAACGACTGATTAATCGAGACAAAAATTACGAAATCGAAAGTTATGGCAATAGTATTTGCTTTTGCAAAACAAATAAAAGAAAGGTTGCCAAGTAAAAACGAATGCTTGGCATATTCTTAAAAGAACTGTCCTACCCGCCATACATTCACCAGATATGATGGGATTTGGACTTAAAGTGTCGTCGACACAAAACCTCGGTCATTAGAGATTAGATTAACATTCAGTTAGTATGCATTTCTAAAGAGGACCTCGGTTTTCGGTTAACAAGAAGGTTCCGCGATGTTGGATCGAGAAAGATCAACTTGTCATTGGTGCTTCAGGACTGAGCGCCTGACAAAGATTGATCGTCTGGTCGTTCATACTGAATGAAAAGGCGAGATTGAAAAAAAACCCAAAACAATTCGACACAGTACTTAAAGAATCCGATGAAGAGTATTAGGTGGAAAGGCTACAGTTAGATCAAAATCGTCTTGATATATCACACTGCATGGCTCATTTCCATCGCCGTGAACCCGTTTGGTCCGTCAAATTCCATTTCATGTCATTTCCAAAAGTCATTGTCTTGCTCCGATTCGCGAAACATTGTATATGTCCTATCCCCACCTACCCACTTTTGCCGAGGAAGAAAAATGGAAAAGAAACCAAACAATGACTGTAAGTCAAAAACAGTATATTATAGAATTATTCAACGCAATTACAGAACATTCGGTATTGATTTGTCTGTCTTTATAAATGTGATCCTAAATGTAATGATAAATTCCATATTATCATTCTATTTAGTTCTTTCACCCCAAAGGAGCCACGTTCTTAAACAATCGATGGTGCTTATATACAACAGGTACGATTTGTGATCAATTTATCCTATCAAACTCCCTAGAAAATATCACGAAAACAATGATTGTATTTTAAAACAAAATCTATTAACATAATTATTCAGCTACAAATTATATGATTTTACCCCTTTGTCGTTAAGACCACCCTCCCCCCTCCCCTCGCCTCCACCCCAAACTTTCTATGATTTTCTGTAGTTGGTGAAATAATAGAGTTCTGCTAGTTTCAAAATAGTTGGTAGATTTGTGTGCTGAGGTTTTTTTAATTAGTGAAATATAGAATTATATGAAAAAAAAACCCCACAACACAATATATATGGAATACAATCACTGGTTTATACACATATAGGACGACGTTTCGACAAGTATTCTCTTATCGTTATCAAGTACAAATGATTTGTATATGGTTTGCTATATGAAGATCTCGGAAATTAATGTTTTTCTATGTTTGGCGAACTAATAGAATTCTGTTCTCTTTTAATCTCTAAATCTCTTGAGTACCAGAATGATAGAGGAGTTTAAATACCTTATAGCTAGTATACAAACTACCATATCGTTTGATCGGATAAAATCGACCACAATCAAAGATCTATATCAAAATTGGATACTAGTCTGCGAACAACTATTTTCTGAAGAGATAATTATTAAGATAATTATATGTTCATATATAGCACTTATTAACTGATTATTTTTATAATAAATTACTTGTCAAGATATGAAAGGTGGGTAGCTCTTTATACAAGAAAGTTCCATTACCATTGCTTTATACGATAATGATTGATATGATTTGCATTAATCGATGTCTCCAATAAATCGATCATCCATGTTAAATACCACACTTAGAAATTGTTTAAGACACGCTCAATGGAATGCATAGAAGAAAGATGGGTATCTGTCAAATGGTGCCTTTAGTTTTCAACTCAATAATTATCCTGCTATTCAAATTTAACGGTAAGTTTGTTTTATTCGTTTAGTACCCCACCCCCTATTAGGCAGCAAATCAAGATTTAGACAGATGCAAGAGTAAAATCATAGGGAGAGAAATGTGGTGTAAAGTCGAATCGACACAAACCAGGTCACCCAGGGACCAAAACATGGTTCAATTTTATTTCATTATTTCGCAGGGGTTTTATCAGTGGGGGCGGAACCCCGAGAAAACACACGACGTTGGACAGGCGACCCTACTCCTTGTCACGTACAAGTGGGGAATCGAAACCACATCACTTGACTCAATGACAGACCTTATTGTGCAACATGCACTCGTTATGCCCCTCCCCTTCCTCTAGAGTTAAATCAAAATAATGGTAAAAATTGGTACTGGACTATTTAAGTTGTCGGAACGATACCTGGGAATTATATATAACACTGTCTTAAAAATTTGTCATTTTATTATTATTTTTTGAGATCGAAATATGTATTTTAAATTTTTGCTCATAATCTTTGATGTAATACTCGGGCTAAATGTAAAATATAAAAAATTGTTACAATATTCCATGTATCTAATATTCAACTTTTATAACACAAAATTTTCGATGTAATACTCGGACTATATGTAAAACATTAAGAAATTGTGAAATTTACATTAATTCAACTAAAGAATAACTTAAATGGTTGTTGTTTTCATTACGGAAAAGGTTGAAATCGTTTTGTCACATTTCTCTACAATGAAACAAGTGAAACACTGTGTTGTGTTGGAAATAATGTAAAAATGAAGTTGATACAAACTATTATTACCGTGTTTTGCGTACACCATCAATGGAATTATATTTACAAAAAGCGACGTCGTGTTAAAAAGGAGATGCCTGGTTCTGCGTCAAACCCTGGACCTTATAATACTACATTATTTCTCTCATTTAAGTAACCTTTTCTCCATATTCAGTTCTTTTTCCATATGTAATACGATGATAAAGTCGGACTTTTAAATATCCTACTTCAGTTCTAAATGGGACGGTTGTTATGCAATAGAGCTGGGTGTGGGTATCCCCCAAGCAGTCTAGTACACATTTGGTATGCATGTAAATTTGAGATAGACTTGTACAACTCGCTTTTAATATGCTTAATTCAGTGGTTGGAGTTTTATTTGATCTTGATATATAATGCAATGTAATAAACAATAGAAGTATAACAAGTAAAATTAACATAAAGTAGTAAAAAGTCAATAATATTAACAACGCCTGTCGCTAGACAATGTTTTATGGCTAGGGGTATCGTATGTCATTTCCTGTTAATATTGTCATATTGATTACAGAACACAAACGATGTTACAGTGCATTAAACAACACTGATAGATGCAGCGGATCAGAACGTCAAGTCCACAATGTGAAACATTGCGAAAATTAATCTAAATAATAAATCGAACGCTGAGCACGTGTTGGTTTTGAATTGAGTTTGTTGGTGATATTGCTGTATGTCTCCATATTCTTACATGCAGGGCCGGATCTAGACCACGTACTTCAAGTTCTTGGACCCTTCAACATAGAAATTAAACTACATGTCAAATTAAAATGGTGAAATAAGATAAATGATATATGGTATTTTGTTCGAAAAAAATAATTTGTAATATAGGCCAAAGTCATATAAATTATTATTGGTGACCAATAAATAAGGGCTTTACATTTTCTGACGACCTCACAAACAACTGTCCCCTTTGCCCCCTTATAATTGGAACATAATTTAAATGAACTCGTTGATACATGTACATGCATTATCGCAATATACACGGATAAGCTATTCGTTGTTGTTTCAAGTTTCCTACCTTTATTTCAAAAAGCGATGTAGAAAAATAATGGGTACTAGTAAATAAATCTTTCCCCTGCTGATTCAGTTAACAAAACGAAATCACCCCTCGTGAACTAAAATTTAGTTTACTATCGTAGCGATTCGCGCGTTATTATTGCAACTAGTTCAGTGTTTTTTTATACACTTTCCAGGTGTGGAAGCAGAGTGCTCGAAATTTCAAGGGGAGGGGATGAGTATCTCATTTAATGGTGTTTGCTACTATGGATTCAAAGAAGTGAAAACATTTTCAGAAGCTACAGAACTGTGTAGATCTAAAGGAACGAGAATTCCTGTTATGGATTCAGCATTCAAACAAGAAATGATAAAAAACATGATCGGTAAGTCACCATCATTATGCTGACTTATTTTGTGCGGTAATAATCGATCTTCACTGAAAATATTACACCTGGTGACAAATCCAGTGATAGGTTATGAAAGTCAAAAATTAAAAAAAGAAATAAGTTAAAAAGATGATTTCTACTTAATCTGTATACTATTTCATCACTATGGTGGAGTTTTCTGTCAGACAGACGCACGAAGGAGCGACTAGAGAAACCCTTCTCGAAACATACCGACATGATGTAATTCTAGTGGAACTATTGAATTGAATGGTTTATCAGATTATCTTGGTATTCATATATAGGGTAACACAATTCTATCAAATGAAATGAATACACAACTTATTTTTTTAATTTCACAAATTCATAAAATTTGCTGCAAGTTTTAAAAGAAAATTTAATATTTGAATGTTTGCATAGTACTTTGGCGGATAACATTCTCTTCAAATATTATTCTATTCGACCCCATTCCCTTACTCTTTTCGTAAATTTTCGATTGTAAGGAAAAGTTGGAGCCCAACTATATAACCTTGTTTCTGTGTTGAAACTCCTGTCTAACCCTTTTGATATCTCTCAGTAAAATATCTTTTAACCAAATAACACACGAGATCAACCCGATTTAATGCTTTATTAAAAAAAAAGAAACGTTAACCACTTTTTTCTTCTTCAAAACCTTAGGTTTTTTCGTCCCAGAGTATTGGATCAGCCTACAATATAAAAATGAAAAATGGCTGTGGGTGGATGATATAAATGAGTATCCGATGGCTCAACCTCGATGGGCGACACAAGAATTGACTGGAGAGGGTTATATATACGCTACGGCCTCAGACGTTACATGGAATAAGAAAAAGTCTGATGACTTGGTTACATTTATGTGCGAGGATGATGCATCTCCACCAACAATCACTGCAGCTATCGGTAATATTAATCTCTTATTTTATTTTTATCTGGTAATCCCTGGAGTTTTGAACAAAAAGAACACTCCATTAATATTATGCTAGTCGTTTTGGACCATGAACTGACACCTCCTTCCCCCCCCCCCCAAAAAAAAAACGCTACACATCATGTTGATCTTGGGGCTGACGCTCTTTGAAAAAAGTAAAAGACTCCATTTACAAAACTACCAATTCAAATTTACTTGCGAAAATGAAAACTGCCCATTTCCGGTTAGGCTTTCATGGTCTGGATATGCGCAGGTTTCACTTTTTACTCAGAATGTGCCAATTTCGTTCTGGATTGCTTGGTTACATTGTGTAAATTACACATACAAATGTTCAAATCACCATTTCTTGTTTCAGGTAGTGACACAGTTACAACATGTACGGTTATCAGGAGCTTGAGCAACATTATTCGAAGTGTGAATATCAAAGCCGAATCTCTAATAGAGTGTGCAGTAATATGTGTGGAGAACAGTGAATGCACATATTTACAGTTTTATCAGGAATCCGGAACCTGTTACGGTTATAAATCACATTTCAGTGATGGTTCTATGAGCTTTAGTTGCCCACAGGGATGCTTTCGTTGTCAATAATACATATATTAATATAGAAATTGGCACGTTAAAGGTACACCCTTCTCGGCCAGATCGAGTCAATTCCAAATGTGGATTTTTAGTTTCAATAGGGGAATATTCATTCATGTATATCTATTTAGAAAAAAAAACATTGCTGGATAACTGTAGAAACGGTATCATTATGTTTTAATAAATGTTTAGTTTACCAGAAACTTTAAATAAATAGGACTATGCTCAAATTCACATAGCCAAAACTCTGTTTTTAGTTTTAAATATAAACCCTAACATATCAAATATGTTTTGTTTTTAGTTCAGTTATATTATTTAAACACGGACCTTAAAAAAAATAATTTCTGGCAAACGGTTTACACATTTTAAATTTTGCAGCGAGCACGCAAATGTTTGAAATGTTTTTAGATTTCAATCTTCTAATAGAACGAACACCAAAAAAATGTGTTCTTTACGGAATTGAAGCTTGATATACGTATTCCATAGTAAATGTTTTGTCGAGTGGAACTAAAATGTCCATGCTTTTTATAACATTTTAACAGATGTTTTCAATACGATGTTATCATTATTTCCACTTTCCCTAATTGCTTGTCGTAATTTTGATATCCAGTTTTAACCCGAGTATAGAATTTTCCTGTAATCTGAGAATCTGGCCTAAAATCTGTTTCACCGATATATTAATGAAATAAAATAAAGATTAATTAAATATTGTATATGTATGTTTCTTATCATAGGCCATTTATTTTGTCATTTATGTGCAAATTATTAGGTTCGGTGGGTTTGTGTTTTTGTCTTTCACTATTCTTCTAAATACTATGGATATATCGATATGATTTCTAAATACTTTTCTTCAAAAGGGGTATTAACTTCATTATTATCGATCTATTAATTATTGCTAATAGTGTTCAATAAATATGCCGCTTTCTCTTTAATAACGCCAATAGTAACAATAAACAATTCTAGTCTAAACACCATTCATTTATTTTTGAATAGATATATAGAGGGAAGATGGATTTGTTTGCACAATTGAATTCAATATTAAAACAGGATTTCTGAAAATTTCCAATAATAATATTCAGACTACAACTACTTAGTGCCGTTGATCGTCATTATTTGAGCATCGCCTTGCAAATTAGAATCGTTCAATTCCGTATAATATTTACGAAGATATTGTGATTAATTGAATTTCGTAACATTCTCCTTAGACAATAAACGAAAACGGCCCATAATTTGTAAAATGTTATATTTATCAGTGGATTACAATATTCAAGTCGTTTGATTGTTTTTTTTATGACCGCTTTACTTAGTCTAAGACAGTTTTGACCAACAGTTACGAGTCTGTAGCCGTTTTGGCCAACTTTAGAGCAGTAATTGTATTCCATAGAGTTGTGATCTGTGTATTTCTAGTCTGAGTACCAAATTTCACTGCAGCAATAGATCCTACACACTTGCTAGGTGTGATCAAGATCGCCTGGGCTGTTGCTGAGAGAACGCTGGAGACAGCATGACGTTTCGAGAGTAAAATCTTTCTTCTGCAGTCGTTTAATCAAAAGACGACCAGATTTCTAATACCGAATCCGCACCAAGACTTAGTGTTATCACCTGATTCTGCCATATCTTTCCGCTTAATTTGTAAGATTTTCTGAGTTTATAAATTTATATTCTAAACATAGAAACAACGGTAGTCGATATGAGGTAACCTTTATTGAGAAAGACATCGAGAAATGCATCTAAATAAAAAATGTTAAATATAGTTTTCATTGTTTTTGATGATTTGGTTACAAATAAACAATAATAATTTAGGGAAGTCACTTACAAAAATAGATACGGTCAACCCGCTTTATTAATAATATCAGATGATTGTGACTGGTTGCGACATGTTGCCCCCGCCCCCCCCCCCCCCATTATATCATCGGGATGTTCAAAAAATGTTATAATATAACATGTCGTAGATTAACATTCAATGTGGAGAAAATGACCAGACCAAATGGACTAAGACTAGTAATTATTGCGAGTTATAAATAGACAATTTTTCCCTTAATTTTTTTCTCCCCTCTTCCTGCATTTTTGGGTTGACTTTTTGGTCTAGAATTGGAGAAAAGGGATCAAATTTGCAATTTCATAGCAGTTTTGGGTAATACTGATGATATTACAGCGGAGGGATACGGGGTGTAAAGTGTCTTTCTGCAGAGCAATCATTGTGTCGGAAGTGAGATTTTCACCCCTGTCAACTTCAAATCTGTGTAGCAAAATATCTAAATGGTCAACCCCCTACAAAATTATGATGAGGAGATTGCCAAATGTTGTCCCCATTGTGCCTATAAAGATTGGAACCAACGGAATGTTGAGCAAAAAGCTACAGCCTGTGATGTTACAGTCATTTAACATTGAAGTCAATGGGCAAATAATTGCTAGTCTGAGTCCCGATGATATAATGAAGCATGGCCGACTCGGGATGTTGATATTTTTTCAACGGCTTGTTTCCTGAAGTTTTGAATGGAAAGTGTCAGAAATGGTAAGAATACTGCTTTTTTATTGCCCAGCAGTAAGTTTTTTGACTATTTGGTATCAAAATAGCCATGATTGGGGGTATCCGTTGGTTGAGTGTGAATTTTGGGTTGTAAATGTGTAACATTTTGTTCACAATGATATCAAAACATGGTTAGGTCTAAATATTAAGGCCAACTCAACTGCAGATTTGGTCTAAAGTCACGAGATGTAAACAAGACTGACCCTAACCCTAACCCAAGACCCAGTCCTTACCCTAACCCTAACCCACAATCTTGTCAAAAAGCATGTAGCCAAGACCTAGTCCTGACCCTAGCACAAACCCACAATTGTGTCAAAAAATCATGTGCCCTAACCCTATTTACATGTTGTGACCTTGAACCAAGTCTGCAGCTGGCCTTAACATTTAGACCTAACATGTTTTTGACATACAATGAAATGTTAACATGTACACTCCAAAATTCACACCTGTGTGACTTTTGATCAAACATGCAGTTGGCCTTAATATTTAGACCGAACCTCAAAACATGGCATCTACCTTTGAGATTGGCTTAGACTTATGTGACACTCAAGGTTTACTTTTTTACTGACTGTTAACTGGTTTCTTTTTGGAGGGCCAGTGACGGGCTGTTCGCTAGAAATAAAGAGGTTTATTTCTATTTCCAGTTGAAACCATATTTTTTTCTTATTTTCTCACTGTTTTTTTATTGCATATTTATCCCCAGCCTCCTATCATTTCAGGTGCCAGGGTAATGTTTCATAGAGTGGAATGATTGACCTCAACACAAGTATTAAAAAAAAAGAAGCAAAACAGGTGAGATAAATGTGCATTTCATACACTTTAAGAAGTCCATCCAACCTGATCCCCACTTCTGCTCACTAATAGTAATGGGCTGGAAATTTGGTACCGCACAGGCCTGTCTTCTCCCCTTGACATTTAACTGAATGACAGAATTCCACATTTTGACCATTTTCTTGATGTCAATGACCGTTTCCCTGGATAGTATTCGCCCCAGAATTCTCATTCTCATCCAAATTTAACATTTCAGGTCTACATCTCAAAACCTGATGTCTTCCTGGACTGGCTTTAGGAGAACGATGATGCATATCAATTTCATCCCTGATCTCTATGACACCTGTGGTGGAAGTGGAGGGCAAATCGTAATCAGTTTGGGTTCCAGCCCCGAGAACCTCTGTAAACTTTGCTTTTTGGTGATGACTTAATTTCCGAGCTTGAAAAGGACGCCCGTGTGTTTATCATGGCCTCTCATATTGGAAGATAACATTAATGGCTTGTGTGTTGATCGACGGTTGTGCATATCTCTTGGTCAGGAAAGTTGTAGGCACCATCGCCATTGTAAATCATTTGACAGGCCCGAGTGAACAGGGCGACCTATGATTGGTCAGCAATGTATCGGATTCCATAATGGGGGGTGGGGATGAAAAAACTGTTGTAGTGTTACATAATCAGATTATTTCAACTTACTTATCCTGTGGAAATACAGCTATATAGGAGATATTTTGAAATTCATAGGCACTGCATGTTTCAACATTTTAGATTTGACCACAATTTGGCACTTGAAACTATGTTAACAGAGATATACTGTGTGGTTTTCGATGAAAGTGTTAAAAGTCTAATATTGCATCATGATTACTGTTTTAAAGTATTTTCGTGTTTGATTTATATTGAATTCATCTCATCTTTTTGAAGAATGCATTTATGTTCAAAAATAAAAATGTTCTGTGGAATTCAAAATTCATGTGCTTTTAAATTATCAGATTCCAAACTGGGGGGTGGGGATGAAAAAGCTGTTGTAGTGTTACATAATCAGATTATTTCAACTTACTTATCCTATGGAAATACAGCTATATAGGAGATATTTTAAAATTGATAGGCACTGCATGTTTCAACATTTTAGATTTGACCACAATTTGGCACTTGAAATTACGTTAACAGAGAAAAACTGTGTAGTTTTCGATGAAAGTGTTAAAAAGTCTAATATTGCATCATGATTACTGTTTTAAAGTATTTTCGTGTTTGATTTATATTGAATTTATCTCATCTTTTTACAGAATGCATTTATGTTCAAAAATAAAAATGTTCTGTTTAATTCAAAATTCATGTGCTTTTAAATTTCTGTCTGAAATTTCGCAGTTTTCTGATGTATTATAGTGTTTGCAGAATGCCGCACAGCTCATCTGAAAATGCATAGATTTTCATATTCTTTGGCCAGGGAATTGCATATATGTTTGTTTATTAGATAACAACAGATTTGTTTAAACTGCAGAAACATGTGAGGTATATATGATATAAAGAAGCATGGCCGACTCGGGATGTTGATATTTTTTCAACGGCTTATTTCCCGAAGTTTTGAATGGAAAGTGTCAGAAATGGTAAGAATACTGCTTTTTTATTGCCCAGCAGTAAGTTTTTTGACTATTTGGTATCAAAATAGCCATGATTGGGGGTATCCGTTGGTTGAGTGTGAATTTTGGGTTGTAAATGTGTAACATTTTGTTCACAATGATATCAAAACATGGTTAGGTCTAAATATTAAGGCCAACTCAACTGCAGATTTGGTCTAAAGTCACTAGATGTAAACAAGACTGACCCTAACCCTAACCCAAGACCCAGTCCTTACCCTAACCCTAACCCACAATCTTGTCAAAAAGCATGTACCCTAGGCCTAAGCCAAGACCTAGTCCTGACCCTAGCCCAAACCCACAATTGTGTCAAAAA